ATGAATGTGACTGTGAAAAGAATGATTCTCATAAGGTGAACTATTTCATATTCATAAGTGCTACAACATCATGTAAGCTTGGATCACTTCCTGATGGTGGAGGTGGAAAAGCCATAATATCCTTATTAAGAGCTTCCTGCTCATGACAAATGATTTCTTACTCCATTAAGGTATGAAGAAACTACGAGGTAATTTATTTTTGGAAGAGGAAAAATCATAAAAATATTGCTTAAGAAATATCCATCAATTATGCTTTCTTAATAGTTAGCCTTTGGCCATGCTGGTTTTTGAGTGATTTAGCACTTGACTAGTAATTAATGGGTTATATTCCATTTAAGTAATCATGGTGTTTCAAAAAATGGATCCAAAAAGGGTGGATCAAAATCAATGAGAATGAAAAGATGGCTCCTGTATCTTTTAGTCCAAATAATCTATTTGAATTTTTGAGTTATTTAAATGTATTTGTAAATTGAAAGATTTTTTTTTTTAGGAAAAGTAGCATTATTAAGAGAAAATAATGTATTGAGTTTGGGCTACTGTCATCACCATCCAAAAGTATTGAAGGGCCAACGGTATTTCACGTGACTCTGTGCCAGGCCCTCTGCAGTATCACACAGGCTTGTGTCTAGAGCAGCAGCTGCACAACTGCCACAGAGCCGCCCTGACTATGATTTTAGTTCAGTCAGGTGCAGCATCTACGCATCAGCAAAATTGTCGCGTACGCTGAACTCCTAGTCAGCCCAATTGTGCAGATGCACGGGCAGGCCATGCTTTGCCAATTTCACTGAAAATTAAAGCTGGGACAATTTTGGAGCAGTTTTACCAACTCAAGCATAGAAACACAGCTCTATAGACCTGGCTCTGGAGCCTGGTCAGTGGGGAAGACCACACTATTAGAGAGTACAGTAGACCTTCTTGCAAGGACTTTCTGTTTAATTGACTGCCAGATGGACCAGGGCTCTCTAAACACTGTATACAGCAGGCCAGTGGAGACCTGTCGGCTTCTCTTGGGCGCACTGGCACATGCCTGCTCCACCAATGATTGGTTTTATGTTGGCCAAGAGTCAGTAGTTTCCACTCTAATTTCTGCCAGTTGAACTTGTGATTGTAACAAAGTAATTTAGTTAAATATTAAATAACAAATTAATTAAATATGAATGCATAAAAACGCATCTGTTTCTGTGAAAATAAGGTTGGAAGATTTGATAAAATAAAATTGATAGGAAAACTACTATTCAGTTAGGTGTGGCTGAGATAGTATTTTAAAAGTTAGAGAAAGATGATGTGGATTAATATCTAGAAGGATTCTGCACTCAGATTGTCCCACAGCCATCTTTAAGCAACTGGCCTGTATCACAGAAACTAAAACTGCAATTTGTTGATGGTGCATTGTGAGTATGATTTAACAAGAATGATGCCATCGAACTCTAAACAGCAGACCGATTCCCAAAGAAAAAAGCTAGACCCTATCTCACAAGATGGAAGAATTAGTGTGCATTTATATATTTTATGTTAAAATAAAATGTCTGCTGTTCATGTATCTGTTTGGTTTTGATTCTTTAAATTTTTTAATTAAACAAACAGCTGGTCCTAAACTGTCAAATAGGAATTCTACTTTAATATGAAAACAAACCAAATATAAAGAAAAAACTAAATATGTATCCCCTAAAAGCTTGAGATCCAAACTGAGGTACAATAATGAAAAAAACATCAAGAATTATGGTTTTGATGCCAAAATTGCTGCAGATAGTGATGGCAAGCAAGACCCTAGGCAGGAGGGAGCTCACGGGAACTCACATACAGGACACAGAGCCCACGTCTGACCTCTGGAGCCACCTGTGTGGATCACGAGGTTCTTGCAACTGTGAGAGCCACTTGTTGAGATCAAACCTCATGTATTGATCACAGGCAAAAGTATTGATTGAGACAAAATCTTCGGCAAAAAAAAAAATATGAAAGATTTGTTAAAAATTAAATAGCTTTTCATTTTCTATGGTCATAGTAGACCTTGTATAAGGCTGAAGATCTTCTTTAAAAACTAGTAACCGAGGTATGACCTCAAGGTGTGACGTCATTGCATCAGTGTTGATTTCTTAGTTCGGGGAATAATGTAATTGGATAAGAATTTACTCTTATTTTGAGCAGATGGATACAGAAGTATTAGGGGTACAGTATTATGTTGTGTGCAGTCTACTTTTGAATGGTTTGGCAAAAAAAAGTGTGTGTGTATCTGTGGAGAGAGAGAGATGAAGTGGGTGGAACAACATGTCAACAGTTAGTGAACCCAGATTAGAGAGGATATAGGTGTTTGCTGTACTGGTTTTCAGAGTCCAGAGTGTTAACCATTACACGGGGGAGCCCCCATATTGCATTGTTTTTCAACTCTTCTGAGGGTTTAAAAATTCTCCAAAAGAATTTCTTTTAATCTCAGTAATAAATTAACAAATATTTGTTAATTAACAAATAATTAACTTGCATTAATTTGAACACAGGTTTAAATAGCCAAAGCCTTTCGTTCCATTCTTTGCCATTTCTATCGTAGTTGTTCATAATTCACACATGTAGAAAATATCTTCATCACGGCAGCCCAACAATAGCCATATAATTCATATGCCTTAAAATCCCTGGTCCAAATGGGATGTAAATAAATTACCAACTGTCCATCTACTCAGTGACTCACCCAATCAGTCCATAAGCATTTGTTTAGGAGATGGTATATTCCAAGGACACTGGTGGTCACAGGACTGTACAATTCCTTCTCTCCTGGGACCTACAGTCATCATGGAAAATATGTACTAGCTATCTAACTTGGAATATTCCATGGGAATGTGTAGAAAAGAGGCCTGACCTAGTCTGGAGATCAGCAAACACTTATTTGCCTAAGCTAAGACGGAAAGATTTCCAGTAGTGTGTGGTGCATGTGATTCTTACTCCAAGAAGTAAAATTAAGCCTGTCTCATGGTCCCAACACACCTTGGTTAGAGAATTGCCAATCTGCCCCTCCTCACTTGGGCCCAGAGATGCTCAGAATCCAGGTGTTCTGTGGCATCGGGGAGGCGGAACAATCAGAGATGCTCATTGTCCATTTGAAAACAACGAGCAGCTACTTCCATGTTCACTTAGGGGCCCAAGGTCCTTGCCCAGCGTCTGCTGCCCCCAGAGGCAGGATTCAGGCTTTCCTTTCTTAGACTGCTGCCTCCTCTGGATGTTCTGTGGGAACAGCGTGCTGGTCCCTTGACCCCTGAACCAGCCACCAGGGAGCACTTACCCTTACAGAAACAAAAGCCCGGAGCATCCCCAAGGTGAGGGAGCACACCCTGGAATGACTGAAAAAAAGATGTCTCACACACACACACAATTGTGCAGATTTCTTTCTCTAATGATATAGTGTTCAGAAATCTTTAGTGAATTAGCTGTATCCTTTGGATACCGGGATTTGAGGCATTGAACTTTAGAGCAGTGGTTCCCAACCTTGGGCAGAACCCCCCAGGGGGCTTGTTAAAACTGATGCAGAGACCCCCCTAGAGTTTCTGACTCAGCAGGTGGGGAGGGGCCCAGAATTTGCATTTCTGGGAGGTTTCCAGGGGACGTTGATGCTGGTCTGGAAATCCACACTTGGAGAGCCACTGTTTTAGTATGGTAAACTTAAATAGGTGATTGCGTGTGAAATGAACATTAAAAATCCAGAAAGACAAGACTAAAATAATTAAATCAAGGTATGACTTGATGACCCCAAACATCTGGGAAGAAAATTGGAAAGATTCAGTCTTCCAAAATACCAAATATCCAACCTTCTGGGAGACTATAGATTTTCCTTCTCAAGCAGTTACTTTTCATTCATATAAATTACAACGTATACAAATATGATGAGGATCAATGATGAGTATCTGAAAATTACTAGGCACACCCCTTCCTTGAGTAGCAGCAAAGCCTATAGCCCAGGCTAAGAAAATATATTCAATTAAAGATATTAGTTTTGTTTTATTTGTTATTTATTTGTTTGCATGGGCTTGTTAGTTTAGATTGCACAAATAGAATTCTCCACATTGGGAATATCTGAGGCAATTTCTTTTAGACTTGCCAAGACCTGCCTTGCCTCTGCTATCAATATTTTTTTTTTCTGGGAAAAGCCAACTAATTTTCAGTTAATATTAACTTGAAGAAAAAATAATAAAGAAAAAGATTAATATATAACCATAGCACGTACATCATGTGTGTCAAAACACATTTTAAATACACTATTTAAAACTATTTTCCTGTTGGTTCCTCTGTTGCCAGGGAACATTTTTAAAAACTGACACCTCTCAGAGTTGATGTGAGCATAAGTGTGAGGGCTGGGGTTGTAGGTGTGTCAAAGTGACTAATGAAGATAGGGTAAGTCTTGCTAAGCTCACAGCTACATTTTTAATTTTTGTTTTATAAGAAAGAACATTTTGATATTAGTTTTAATGGATTACTTTGTTTTCTTTAAAGCTACATAGTGGGTATTCATCATTTTATCTCAGTCTTGAACATCATTTCAGGAAAAGAAAACCTTATAATCACCTATAGGATACATTAAACATTAATAAACACAAACATTGTATATATACATTCTTCTGTATACATAAGATACATATACACGTATACACATATATGAACATTATGTTGAACGTAAGAATTTGTCAACATTTGACCACGTTCTACCTACAACAGTAGCAATTTCTTGTGGTTCAACTATATATTATTCTGAGAAAAGGATGGCTGACTTTGTTTTCCCATAAACAAATTACTTCAAGTTCCTAAATACAATAAAAAATGCTGTCTACTCATCTGACATTTCTCCTTATATGCGACATCTCACTTTTCTGCTGTTTCTATTGATGCTACAGTGTCAGGTGGCTCCTAATAAATAGTGACCAATACTCAAAGGACAGAAAAATATGTTTGCTTTTACCCTGGCCATTTGGGATTGGTTAAGCTGTGTTTTAAACAAAACTCTTTTTCTTCCCTCTTCCTAGGGCTGCGTCTGCAAAGACAAAGGCCGGTGCTTCTGTGATGGGGCCAAAGGACAGAAGGTAAAAACTAAACCTCATGCTGCTGCTTTTCCCTAAAAAGCTCATCAAGTAATTCACACTTTTCTTTCATCAGCAGCAGAAAGATTGGCAGTATGTTTTTTCATTTCCCAAATCCAATTATAAAAAAAAAAAAAAGTAATTATATGTAAACATTAACCTTAAAAAAAAAGTCTTCTAGGAAGCTTCAGATACTGTCAATTAAATTATAGCTGTCTTGGTCTGCAAAGAATAAGTATCAAGTTAAGCAAAAAGAAAGTTTATGAGAAGCCTCCATATGTATACACTATTTACAATGTTGCTAAACATAAGAGATGAATTGGAAACAACCTGATTCATTCACTTTGACGGAAACATTAAAACCCACAGGTTTTTGTCCTGTGGTATTGGTGCAAGCGCGCCTCCTGGTGGGGGAATCCTGAAGCAGCACCCTAGTTGAGGGGAACATTTAGCAGAGGGAAGTAGAAAGTAGCTCCATTGCAGAATTCAAGAAAAAAAAGAACACCGTGAAATCTCATTAATTCGCTCCATTAACTTGCAATTTGTGATAATTAAGACAGAGGCAGAACTAAGTTTTTTTTTTTTTTTGCTTTGCTTACAAAACCCTTTCCTCAGAGACACTAATTAATTGTTTAACAATATTGAAGGGTGACTATTTATTAATGAAAATATTTTTGAGACCATATTTTAAGCTCTTTATACAAAACAACTTACATATGCTTCATATGTTAACTATAACAACTATTATTATATTTATTTTAAATTATTTTATAATTCACGTATAGTTCAATTTAGGTTTTTTCCTGAAGCTATGAATATAGAATTCAAACCCCCATTGGGAAGTACCATCTCCGTGATTCATCTTGCATTCAAGAAGGATTGATTGAGTCCCTATTGTTTGTAAGATGCTATTTTCTAGGATGTACGAGTATGCTCTCACTGAGTAGTAAGATGGGCTCTAGCAAATTCTTTTATTTCTCTTCTTTTTGAGTGTGTGCACATACACAATGCGAAACGGCTGACTTGATCTTTTTTGTTTGTTTATTTTTAATTTGCCAATTGTGTAACTAAATTGCCCAAATTGCCCAAATCAACCAGTGGCCTTTACTGTTGAAGAGTATAGTCAGCCCTCCATAGCCATGGGTTCCGAATCCTCAGATTCAACCAACTGTGGGTTAAAAATATTCATGAAAGAAACAATAAAAATAACACTACCTAATAAATGATAACACAAATGAAAAAAAAACAATATAGTAAAACAATTATTTGCATACCATTTACACTGAATTAGGTATTATAAACCATCTAGACATGATTTAAAGTATACAGGAGGATGTACATAGGTTATATACAAATACTGTACCATTTTATTTTATTTTATTATTTTTGAGTCAATAAGTAAATAGAAAAAAAATATTTTTGAGACAGAATTTTTCTCTATTTCCAAGGCTAGAATGCAGTGCCATCATCATCGTAGCTCTCTACAACCTCAAACTCTTGGGCTTAAGCAATCCTCCTGCCTCAGCCCCCTGAGTAGCTGGAACTACAGGCATGTGCTGCCATGCCTGGCTAATATTTTGATTTTATTTTTAATAAAGGCAGGGTCTTGATATGTTGCTCAGGTTGGTCTTGAACTCCTGGCCTCCAGTGATCCTTCCACCTCAGCCTCCCAAAGTGCTGGCATTTATATGCATGAGCCACTGCACCCAGACTTACACCATTTTATATAAGGGACTTGAGCCATCTATAGATTTTAGTTTGGGAGGGATCCTGGAACCAATCCCTGACAGATACCAAGGGGTATATGTAATCCCAGGATCCATATCCAGGAAGATTATTTGATGGTAGAACCATGTCAAGCATTGGGCTGAAAATACTTTGGCTTACTTTTACTAGGTACTTTCCCATAGTATCATCTGACTCCTTCTAAAAAATTATTTAGCTCACACTTTTGGTTATGCCATCCTTGATATCTCTCCTGCATCTCCTACACAAATAGTGGATTAAATTACTAATTCTTGTGTAATCAAGAAAGGACTAAAACTCATAACCTGCATGGTGTTGTTCTTTTCAAGCTACATAGTAATTATGCACACTCCCCAAACACATTCTTGTGCCTTACTCTCACTCTCTCCCCATCCCTCAGCAAACATTCCACTAGCACTGATGTTTCTATTTGGGCTTTCTCCTCAATTTTTGATTCCTTTTGCTTGAGCTCTGCTCTGCATAGCCCTACCATTTGGAGAAGAGAAAATTTCTACAACACCAAGAGCCAGTGCTTTCAAGCCTATAGACCAATACTAACAACTGGTAACTTTCCAGTATACTAGTAGTGTACTAACTGCTGAGTGCTAATTATTATTGTTTATTTTTTTTGACATCAAAATGCTCTTTTTTTCAGCATATTATGGGGGTACAAATGTTAAGGTTATGTATATTGCCCTTGCCCCCCGTACCCCTCAAGTCAGAGCTTCAAGCATGTCCATCCCCCAGTTGGTGCACATCACACTCATTATGTATGTATATACTCATCCCCTCCCCCAACCTGCTCAACACCTGATAAATGTTATTCCTATATGTCCACTTAGGTGTTGATCCGTTAATGCCAATTTGCTGGTGAGTACGTGTGGTGCTTGTTTTTCCATTCTTGGGATACTTCACTTTATAGAATGGGTTCCAGCTCTATCCAGGAAAATACAAGAGGTGCTATATCACCGTTGTTTCTTACAGTATTATTATTTTTAATCCAAAGAAAAAAATGCAAAATGTTATCGTGAAGTCATAAAGAAGAGAACACAATGCTTATGAGTGTGTTTGTCGTTGGGTAGCTGCTATTCTAAATGTGTCTCGTCTTGTGGTTTTAACAGGGGGAAAGAGGTTTTCCTGGACCCCCAGGTTCTCCTGGCCAGAAAGGATTCCCAGGTCCTGAAGGCTTCCCTGGACCACAGGGACCCAAGGTAGGCCATCCTGTACTTGGAAAATTCCCAACCCACCTAACTCTCTTCATGCCTCCTCCCTGGGCTGCTAAGAACCTGGAGAGAATCCCCATCTTAGCCAACCGATGGGTACCTGACAAGTTCCTGGTCTCCAGTATTAGCTGGGCACTCAGAACAGCATCCTATCCCAAGACCATTGCAAATGCTCACCATTAGCTTCAAGTCTGCTACTCACCTCCCTTCCCGTCTACACAGTTTCTTACGTCTCTAACTGTCTCTACCGGTTTTTCCTCCTCCATGAAAGGATGAGCTCGTTTCGCTTCCATTCAAGACCCAGCCCTCCACCTGTACCCTGGTCACTGGGATTCCTGCTGAGACTTTGTTCCATGAGGTGTCTCCTCCCTCTCGTACATTCTAACTTTCCTTTGGATGTTGGCTTTTATCTTTGAGCCCTTCAACATGCAAATATTTTCCCACATTAAAACACAACTTCCTCTCCATCTTCTTAGGTCATGTTACCAAAGGGTCGCCATCTCTCCCTGTCTCTCCTTTCTCTGGGAAGCTTCTCAAAATAACAGCTAAATGTGCTGCCCTTAGTTCACCTCCTAGTCACTCGTTAGCCAGCGAAAATTCACCTTCTGCCCCCTCCTCTGAACACACTCCTGCAAAGATCACCGATGACCTTCAAATGGCCAGTGACAAGAAGTGATTTTGTGTCTTTATCTGACCTGAACCCTTCTGCTTTGTTTTGGATACGATGAATCACTCTCTTCTCCTTGAGACGTGTCCGTCTTTGTTTCGGGTTCTCCTTTCCCTGATTCTCTTCCTGTCTCCCCAGCCTCCCTTTCCTTTACTGGCTCCTCTTTTATCCCCTGGTCCCTTGAACGTGGGGCTTGCAGGGCTCTTCCCAGAGCCCGCTGCCCTTCACATTCAACACACATTTTTATCCTAAAGTCTGTGATACAGCAAAGGGCTTTGTTTCCATAAATACCCTAGAGGATTTGCTACATAACTGCATAACCGCTGGACTTGCTGATTGCTCTTTCCTGCTGCGGACATTAGCTAGACTTAAGCCCAGCTTCTCACGCACCCACGGCACGCATTCCCCCGCTACTGACCTCCAGCAAGCCGTAAACTAACTGATACGCCATGGGAGATAATTGTAATTGATCTATATGGAGTCTTTTAAATTAAAACATGTATTAGAATACTATATAGAATATTCAAATGATAATCGAAGGCAACAAGGCTGCATATTTACTCTGTGCCAGGCCCTGAGTCATGTTTTCGTCACTGAATGTCACTTACTCCTCACATCGATCCCATGCATCATGACTGTGGTGACACATAGCATAGTTCCCATTATTATCTCCTTTTCAGGGATAAGGAAACTGACCCTCGGAGCACATAAGTCGTTTGTCCTGAGTCACGTGGCCAACAGGTGGCAAAATCAGAGCTCAAACCCAGTTTTGTATTTTGTGTGGGTTTCTCCTCACACCAGACCATTCTCCAACTCTCTGGACACCAGCTGGGTGTCCTACAATTCAAATGTGACACCAACTACCTGGAGTTCATGCAGACCCCACAGGTTCAGGGCTAAGTCCCACAAGACTGCCCCCACTTCAGATGCCAGTCACAAGCAGGGGGTCCCCAGGTTACCCACACTTCTGTCCAACTCGGCTACAAATCAGGGATTCCTGTGACCTCCCCCCTCAGGTTTGATAATTTGTTACTCTAGCTCATAGTACTCAGGGAAACACTTATATTTATTGGTTTCTTATGAAGGATGTGATAAAGGATACAGATGAACAGCCTGGTGAAGAGGTATTAATACATAGGGTGAGGTCCAGAAGAGTCTCAAGTGTGGAAGTTTCTCTCCCCAAGGACAGAAGCTACCAGTGCAGGGTCCGAACACCCATTGACTTCCTCTGGGCAGGGGCTCAGGTTTTCCTCCATTGCACTGGTAGCTTCTGTCCCACCCTCCCGGCACGTGGATGTTCACCAACTGGGAAGCTCTCTGAACTCCGTACTTTAGGCATTCTTCTGGAGGCTTCAACACATAGGCACAAGCTATTATTAATTCAATCTTCAGCTTCTCTCCTCTCGCAGGAGGATGACACCAGAGCTGAAAATTCCAAGCTTCTAATCACAGCTTGGTTTCACTGGTGACCATCCCCCATTTGGGAACCCACCAAGAGATGCCTCATTAGAACAAAAGACAGTCCTATCACCCTGGAATTTCCAAGAGATTTGGGAGCTCTGTGTTCTGAACCAAGGTCAAAGGCTAAATATTAGAACAAAAGATGATCTTCTGTTCCCCTATCACTCAGAAAATTAGAAGGATTTTGAGAGTTCTGTGCACGTATTTATGTCACATATATGATGCCAGAATCAAACACTTAGAACCAGAGAAACTGAATCCACTCCTATAGTTTATAAGTAAAAAATGCAAAAGCTTGCTGTTTCCCAGGAATTCTGTCATTTCCACGTCTATCATATTCATTCATGTGTTCTCTTGTTCCATGTCTCCTTCTTCTGACCCTAATTTTGAAAAAGCCATTCAGACTCTGGGCAGGGACTGAACATTCATTGACTTCCTCTGGGCATGGGCTCAGGTTTTCCTCCACTGCACTGGTACAATGAGTTTGCTGCTTCAATCCTGGACGCAGATCAGCCTAATGCCAACTGCTTCCTTTTCATCTTGTTCTCTATGCCCTCCTCTGCTTGCTTCTGCCCAACATTTATTTAGAGATGCAGCAATACATTAAAATAATAGTTTAAACACACGGTGCTTAGTGTGGGCTACATGACGTGTAGGTATTCCATAAAATTAATCCAGAAACTCTGAGTGCCATGTTGCTTTAGATCATCTCATAAAGCATAGCTTATAGATATAGCTACAAAAGATAATTTGAGCAAAGGAAGATAATTAGAGGATATTAAAACTTGACCAAAAAGATTTTTCAGATTTCTAAGCTTCCTATCTTAATTTTAAATAGTTTCTGCATGAACAGATGTACAATGGGGAAGTAAAACCTTCAAGGTACTCATTTGCTTTCTGCGAAACACAGATAGCATCCTACAGAGAAGGGGAGCGGCCTTGAACATGGCCATGCACCCAGGAATTCCATCGCAGACTCAGAAGGCTGACTTTGACCTCGACAGCCCAATCTCAGAAGACTCTGTAACAACATTTTTCTCAAATAATCAAAAATACCAAAACATACTGAAACTCTCTGGAATGATGAATATAACTTTCGGACAATGGACCTTTCATACCAAGTGATCTAGCTAAGACGGTCTCCATGTAAGGGTTATTCTCCAGTGTATTCATTATGTGCCTGAAGCAAGTTTATCTCTGGTTCAGGCAGTTCTTACTTGGCTATCTGTGTACTTGTGCGCGTCAGGCACATTTTGTTAATAAAGTGTTTCTCGTGCACAGAAAAATTGGCTGCCATTCCCATCCGCCATTGTAATTGTGTCATTCATTCTTATCAGACGTCAACAGCTGTCTGGCTAATGTGGGACTTTTACAGCGGCGCTTTGCAGACTTTAATGTGCACAAGCAATGCCTCATTAGAACAAAACAGGTCTGGGAGGTGAGGGAGATCTGAGATTCTGCATTTCTAACAAGCTTCCAGGTGGTGCTAAGGGGCGGACCCCAATCCTCACTTTGAGTAGCAAGGGTTTGAATGAATTGTTTGTCTTTTCTGAAAACATTTTAGCTCCAATGAAATAAGCAAGCACCTGAACCTTATGAATAGTGAAATAATCACAAGAGCAAAACAGCCTGACATGTGAATAAGACTAGGATCTTTAATGTATGGGTTTCTTAGTGCCAAGTAATTTTCACAGTGTTTATTTACCTTTTCTTTTTTTCACTTGGATCTAGGGCTCTCCAGGACTTCCAGGACTCACTGGTTCCAAAGGTGTAAGGGTTAGTAGTCCATCCAGTCCATCCTGATTTCTTGGTGAACATTCTTATTCTTTTAAAAAAAGATCAACTTTGCACCATGAGAATTATACAAATGTCAGAAAGGAGAAAACTGTGTATGGTTCTATAGATGAAGTTTAAGAACAAATAAAACTAATCTGTCATGGTAGAAGTCAAAATAGTGGTTACCACTTTAAGGGCAGTGAGAACGTACCAAGAAAGGGCATGAGGAAATGTTCTGGAATGACAGAGATACACTGTGTCTAATGGGACAGCGATAATATGAACGTGCACATAAGTAAATGTTTGTTAGGCTGTTCACAAGAGACTGGAACACTTTACTCTGTGCAAATTGTAGCTTAGGAATCTATACAAAAATCCAGAAACAAAAATGATCTCTTTTTAAAAGTCTTATAAATGTGAGATTTATGAAGTTTTCTTAAACCCTGTTTTTTGTTTATTTTGTCTTTCCAATCATTTCGAGCTATTCCCAGTTACAGTTGCAGGAAGAGATTATTGCAATGGCAAATTTGTATTTACAAGTTGAACATTTTTAAACTGTCTTGCCTTTTCTGTCTTCAGGGAGTAACTGGATTACCAGGATTTTCTGGTCCTCCTGGACTTCCAGTAAGTAATGGGAAATATATGTAGCTGGAAAAATTAAAAGTAAGAGCATTTTAATAGAGATGTTAAAACAGTAGCAATGTCTTGGTGTAAATGTGTCCTGATACATTTGTTATATGAAGAAATTGGTACCATAAAATTACATATTATATTATAGTGTGGATTTATATGACATATGAGTTAAACCATATTTCCTGAAATATAAGCATAAGAGGATAGAAGAGGATAGAACAGAACACAACAGAATGCAATAGAATAGAATAGAATAGAATAGAATAGAATAGAATAGAATAGAATAGAATAGAATAGAATAGAATGATTCTGCTTAACAGCATAGAATAATAAAATAATTACCTCTGTGCACACTTCCCACTTCTTTTTCCCTTCCTTTCTCCTCAGTTTAAAGCAACATGTTCAAGTACTTCATTTTATGTAGAAGGGCTTTTTGTTTTAGCTGAAATATCCACATCTCACTTGATAAGTCTTCATTTTAATCAGCCTGTTTTGTTTGCTATATGCTATTGAAATTATATCAAAAACAAGGATTTAAATTTACTACTAAACTGTTTAAACAGCCATTTCTATTTCAGTAGCTATTGAAATTAGCCCATCTGTTCCTGTGGGTTCTGTTCTGTTCCTTGTGATAATGTCTCCTAACTGGGACTTGTTCTCCTTTCAGGGCATCCCGGGCCATGCTGGGCCTTATGGACTTCCCGGGTTGCCAGGATGCAATGGTTCTAAGGTATGTAGTTTTTGCACAGAAGATGATTAATAAGTGCTTTGCTGAATGAATGAATCAAGGTGAAATAGCAATGAGATGGAGATGGGCTCTACTTGAAACATTCCTTTAACCAGAGCCAGCAGTATGATTTGGAACCAGGAACCTTCCCATTTTCTTTCTTCTTATTCCATGCTCTCTAATTGTCTTTTAAGAAAGTTCTCCCACAGAAAGATAACTGGGGGCTCAACTGGTTATTTTCATCTGAGGTTGTGTATATAAATCAGACACTGAAGCCTTGAGTGTGAAATTAGTCTTTGGAAAGCAATGACTGATGTTTTCAATGTTCACTCCCAGCCTTTTGTTCTCTAACTGAGCTCTCCTTTTCCCCAGAATGGTGGCTATGAATGAACTAATTACTAAAGTTTGAAAGAAACAGCAATTAAAAAGTTCTTGGCATAATTAGACTTTGCCATTTATGCACAATTTGAGAAACAGTATTCTAATCCTGTTTTTAATTAAGATAATGGTTTTGTGGTCTTCAGCCTCATGACCCAGTAGCCATAAGGAATTTAGATTACTTTGTCTAGATTTACCACTGCAAGGTTGGAAGAGAGGAACAAGGAAAATATCTGAATAGGCTATTCTAGAACAACTAAGAATAATGACAAACTTTTATGTCTTCCAGGGTGAGCAAGGGTTTCCAGGACTTCCAGGGACACCAGGCTACCCAGGGATCCCGGTAGGTTTGCATTTTGAACTCCTCATCATAAAGCGTAAGTAAGAGTTGTCTACTCCATATGGCCATGTACACAAATCGGTCATGACTTTGGGGAAGTCTGAGTCAGCCAATGGTAGACATTCAACTACTAGTTAGGGAGTGGGTGAACACAGCCATTGTGAGTTCAGGTTTAGACTTTGAGACTTTGACCCATTGACATGCACAACTTGGATTTGCCCAGAGGACAGGCCAGGACTGGTGATGACTGGAGGAGTGAGAGTGAGGAGAAAAGAGGCTTAGAACTGGGACACAGCACCAGGGGTAATGTCTAGATCCGGGGTCCTCAAACTACGGCCCTTAGGCCACATGTGGCCCACCAAGGACATTTATCCGGCCCCGCTGGGTGTTTTTGCCACCGCTGCCTGTCCTGCTTAGCAGCCAACTCGTCCCGGGCCCACAGTGCACATGTGTGGAATGTGCCCCACACTCTCCAGTGGCCCTCCAACGGTCTGAGGGACAGTGAACTGGCCCCCTGTTTAAAAAGTTTGAGGACCCCTGGAAGGAGAATGAGTCTGTAAGGGAGGAGCTCCCCTGGTGGTAGAAAGCCAAGAAGGGTACATTATTTCCTGGAAATCCAGGAAAGATCCATTTCATTAGAGGGGAGGAAGACAGCTACCTGATGCTACTGAGAAGTCACGTATGATGAAGACTGACATGTTGACATTGGTTTTAGCAACATCAAAGTCATTTCTGACGTTAGCAAGGGACACTTCCATGGCAAGATGGAGCCAGGAGGCAGATTTGGAAGTGAGGAATGAGTGGGAGAGGAACAAAATGGAAAGTTTGCTGGGGAGATGAAGGAGATACAGGATGGTATTGGGAAGGAGGTAAAAGATTAAGGGGGGGCTTTATTTAAATGGGGGAGACTTGAGCATGTTTGAACGGCAGTTTAAAAGGCAGTGGGAAATGTATGGCAGGGATGCAGAACAGCAGAGAGGACAGGGTAGAAGAGTATGCATTTGAGTTGCCTCCAGTTGTTAATATGCTGCTGTTTTCCCAGGGTGCTGCTGGTTTGAAAGGACAAAAGGTAAGTCACTGGTGGAATATTGTGATTGAAAATCTCTATACATATGCAAAGAACTTCTATCAAATAATGAGATGTCAGTCATTACAAATTGGATCTCATAATCTTCTAGACCTTATTCGTTCAGAAACTAATAATTGGGCCATGATATTTATTCCTGTTGAAGAGCTCCCTCTTGCTCTTGTCATAAATGGGTCTTAAGGATACAGGTTTTGTATCAGCATTTAAGGAAACAAGGTTGAGAAGAAGGGAACTGACCGCATGCTCAGGACCCCAATTCTAGGTCAGGGATTGCCACTAATTTTGGTGTCTTGGGAAATGGTTTATTATCCCTGCATCTTTCTTGTCTTGAAATTTTTTCACAGTAAAATTTCAACTTTAGAAAATATGAAAATGCTTTGAATTCTTTGTAACGGAATAGCTACGGAATCCTAAATCATTTCTATAAGTATATATCCCAGAAAGCACTTTTATGCTTGAAGCAGTATGATCTTGAATAAGCATTTAAAGGGTGTTGATAATATAACAGTGATTTTATTTGATAAACTTCTTCATTTTCAAGGGCACTCCTGCTAAAGGACAAGAAGTAGAACTTAATGCAAAAGGTGACCCCGGGTTGCCAGGGACACCAGGATCCCAGGTATGAAACTTCAGAGAAGAGCCCTGTCCCTCTCAATCTCTCTCCCTCTTTCTATCTTCCCATCTTTCTTTCCTCCATATGTTTTCCTCATTCTTTGGAGAACATTTTATTATATTTACAAATGAGCATTCACCTTATTATAAGAAACTATGTGATGCTGATATATAAAGATGATTTTGTGTATGTCTTTTATTCTTGACTCTCAGTTACTCAAGCTTTCCTGAATCTCAGGAGGATGCAGGGAATAGTTATGTTGTGCTTAATCTGTACTTGTTAAAATTAAGGATGGGTTTGTATGACACATTGACTATCATTTAAAATTGTAGTGTTAAATAACAGCTCCATTTTCAAATTTGCATGATAGTAAATTAAAGGGTTTTATTTAAATGCAACTTTCTCCTGTTGAATGGTTATGCATGCCACCTTAGGGTAATTCAGAATGAATACCAAGAAACACAACTACTTTGGGGGCTGTGTGTGCTCTACATCATAATTTAAAAGGACCCTTTGGTAGACCTAAGCCACAAGTGTAGATTAATTAATTAGAAATCCTTTAATTTAGTTCAGAATTTTATGGGGAAGTTCCATCGTAGAGATGGGATATTTGCCTAAATGAGTCAGAGTTCGAGTTGAGGTTGCTGGACTCCGGCATGGTGAACTATGTCCACACTGACCATGAGCTGCAAAGACCAGACTAGGAGCTACACAAGTGCAGAATGATGCAATTAGGAGCCATTGTAGGCTTCTGAGAAAAGACACAGGAGATGATGGCTCTTGCTTTTTTGCTTAGGAAACATTTACAAGTTCAGATGCTGAAGGCAGGGGATCCAGGAAGAGGGGTTAGTAGTGGGTAGTTAGTATTGATCGCTGCCTATGTACTAGTCATTGTGATAGCGCTGAAGACATAATGCTGGGACATTCATTCATACAAGAAATATTGTTTACATGCCAATTATGGACCAGGAGCTATTTCTAGGCTCTGGGTATACAGCAGGGCACAAATCAGCCAAAAAATTATTTTCAATATTCCTGGCCTCATAGAGCTTACAATCTAGTGGACGAAACAGAGAAAAAGTGTAAATTAGTAACTCTATGGTATGTTAGATAATAACCAATGCTAAGGATAAAAACAATGCAGGGAATGCAGAATGGGAAGTGCCTGGGTTGGAAGGTGGGTTACAACTTGGGGTAAGCAGGAATGGCCTGTGGAAAGGGTGACAATTGCGCATAGATAAGAAAAGGGAGAGGAAGGGAGTCGTACAGATATCTGGGGAGCTCGGACACCTGCAGAGGGAGAGCAGGTGGAAAGCCCTAAGGTAGGAACATGCTTGGCCAAAGAGAGAGAGAGAAAGAGAAAGGGAGAATGAGAGAGGAAGAAAGAGAGAGAAAAACAAAATTTTGAAAACTTCTAAAGTAAAGCCACTAAGCAACTGCTCTGGTCATTTTCCTGGAAACAGTGTCGTCAGGATGGTCCTGGCAGCCTGTTAAACATAGCAACACGCTTTTTGGCATTTATTGTAATTAACTGCAGCCAGTTAAAAGGGAGCATTGTGCTTTTCTGATTTTATTAAAATATTTGGATGCACTTAATTAATGGACATTGTTCTTAGGTGAGACGTAAATTTAAACTCACTCTTATCCATCTCTTAATTTAAAGGGTCTGCCAGGCCCCCGAGGTTTCCCCGGGCCCATCGGCCCACCTGGCCCCCCAGGATCCACTGTGAGTATGAAGCCACCACTGCTATAGACTCTGTAAACTAATGGATTAATTACAGAAAAATGTTTTAAAAAGAGTTTTGTGGCTGGGCACATTTCCTGCTGTAATGTTAATTTGTGGGTTTTTCTAGGGCTTTCCAGGAGCCATGGGACCTACAGGACCTAAGGTAGATTACTGTTCCTATGTCGTATCAGCTAGAACACCCTAACCAATCTCAAGAGCCAAACCTGGTCTGATGCCTCCTGTGGGTCACTGTCTGGCACCTCTGCAGAACTCACACAGTTCCCAGCAGGAGGGGAGCGTGGCTGGCAGCTCTTAGCTCTTCTCCCTGCATTTCAGTAACTCGATCTCTGATAACGAAGAGTCTTAGTTTAATTATAAGGAGCTCCTTATCCAGAAAAACCCCTCAGGGATTCTTAACCCATAGGCTTTCCATTTCTGATAATCCTACTGATCACCCAATACTTATCCTATGAGTTTTTTTAGTGGGCTGCATCGCAGAACCAACCTGATTTTACGTATTAAATAAAAGATGATTATTTACGTGCTCATGAAGTGGGGTCCTGTATGTATTTCTATTAAAAAGACCGATTGTGAGTTTAAGTATGAAAGTGTCGAGTGAGGCTGAGCCCCACCAGAAAATTGGTGCCAACCACAGTATCGATGACAGTTCCACGTGGTGTCATACGTAGGGTACTTTCCAAGGTGCTTCCACTTGTATTTCATTAATGCGTGTGCGTGGTGCCCCCCCACACACACACACACATACACACACACTGAGAGGTGGAGAGGTTCAGGTTGAGTGAATGGTCCATAAACAGTCAAAGGCAGAGCTTAGGTTTAAAGTGTTTTGATTCCTCTACAGCTTTCTGGCTAATGAGGGGAAGATCCCCATACTCAAGAGCAAGAAAGCAAGAAGATATTGGCTGAAATGATAGATTGGCCATCATTAGTGAAGACAAGCTATTCACATTAGACTTATCTCATGTCACTAAATTCCTAGTGAAGTCAGGTAGCTTGAATTCTGTTATTAGACTCTCTATTAAGTTTTGAATTTCAGAATCCTGAAGTCTGGTTACCCATCCTTCTTATTTTTAAGATCACAAAACGGGAGCATTAGGAAGTTCAGCACAACCAGCCAGTAGGACCAAAACCAGCCACTGGTTGAGCAAAAAAAAAAAAAAAAAAATGCACTCTGAGCTAGGCCCCTTTTCCTACCCCACCCCACCTTGTGCCATCATTCACCACCTTAAGTAAATCCCTTAAACTTTCTGCACCTCAAGATCTCCTCCTTTGAAAGAAACATATTGATGTTCTGCTCTAAGAAATAGCTCAAATAACTTTTGTGATTCTAAAATTAAGATTAAAATGTAAATGCTCGATTATATATTTTGGAACATCAATGGGTTTAGACTTTTCACTCATATTTATTTTTCAAGAATAATTTGGCTTTGTGTTTTCTTACAGGGCCACATGGGTGACAACATGATAGGACGAAAAGGAGAGCGGGTAATTTGAATACTGTGGTTTATCAGGAGGCAAAACACTTTAAGTTCTAGGGCGTGTCAGCTTAGACCATATGTTCACTAGCCAAGTTCAAATTAATGTGTTTACGTCTGCTGTAGCTTCTTGCATAAGAGCTAAAGGGGGAAAATAGATCTTTTGAACACAGTAAAGTTGAAATTTTGATGATGTTTAGTTTCTCCTTCCTGTGTATTTTGTCTTAAGGGTGTGAAAGGATTAACAGGACCCCCTGGACCACCAGGAACAGTTATTGTGACCTTTACTGGACCAGAAAACAGAACGGTAACTGTCATTTTCTTGTTAGGGCCACACCTTCCCATTTCTAGGATAAAATCCTGGTAAAAGCCCAGCTCAGCCCAGCCCCTCTGCCAGCCTGAACTTCCGGGATTCATTCCTTCCCCATCCTTCACTAGTAAACCTGCAAATATCAGATGGGAAAGATCTGTGGCAAGTGACTTCTAAGATTCTTGGAGGCCGAGCCTGCACCTGACTTTGTTCTCCCTCAGATCCCTGTCTCCCCATTGTCCCTAATCCAGAGTACTTAGTGAGTAATTTTGAATAAATGATAGCATAGTGGTATGTGGGTCTGATCCAGTTGGATGGCAGTGACATAAATATACGGCTGGAGGGGCACCGTGATCACAGGGGACATTTTCATGCTGCCCTTGTAACCCCATGAATGCTGCAGCCTCCACTTCTCACCAAGGACACTATGGCCCTGTCAACGTAGACATTAACATTTGTTTTTTGCTCCCATGTTGGGGTAGCCGGGAGGACCAGGGTGTGGGACTGAACCGAAAGCTCAGAAGAAGCGAATGAACATCCCATATGATATATAGTCCTAGACACGAGATTGATCCTGATATGTCTGGGAGGGAGAATGAGGAAGTGAAGGAGAAGTTAACAATTTCCATGTGGATGAACTAAGAAATATAAACACAAATCGTCCTTCTTGTTTAAACTTATAATTAATTCCTCCAAATAACAGCTTGATTGAGATATAATTCACAAATCATAAAGTGTACCCTTTTAAAATATACAGTTCATAGATCTTAGTTATAATTCATTCTCAACAGTTTTATTGAGATACAATACACATACCATAAAATTTAGTATGCTCATTTAGTATACAATTCAATGGCCTTTATTAATAGCTTATTTACAGAGTTATGCAGCCATCATTGCAATTTTAGAGCACTTTCATCATGCCAAGAAGAAACCCCCTTAGCCATCACCCTCCAGTGTAATTAATGTTTAATGATACAAATGATCAAACAAAACTAATAAGAGTTAAAACAAAACATGGTAAAATTTGACATTGCCAAAAATAATAACTCGAATTGAAGATTGGAAAAAATTGACCTGAGGAAAATAACTGAACTTTCTGATGCAATCAATAAAAATAAAATTCATAAAGTCTGAAGCTTTATTGTCTGAAAAATGATAGAAAAAACTATATTGACAAAATCTGGCTCTGGACGATATGAGCCAGGAAACATAATTGAGTTTGAATAAAATGATGCCCTCAAGAGAAAACTCCCTTTGGGAAAAATATAATCAATAAAATGTGATAAGGGTTCAAACAAACCCAATTAAGGAATCAAATCTCCGTTATAACACTTACCCAGAAAATAGTTTATCCCAATGAAAATAATTTTAGTGTATTCAAAATGAAAGTAAAATACATGAGAAATGATCTGGTTGTACTTACAGACAACTGATTCAGGAGTGAAATTAGTTTAGTGTAGTTTAATCCGGAAGATACAGTCTTTAAAAAAAAGTCAGCCTGTTGTTTCAGAGGGTTCATAGGTATAAAATTTGAAATGTGAAAAACAGGAACATCTATTGGGTTGTGTTAACACAGGGCACATTGATAGTTTGTAAATCCAGCTTATTGACCAGAGAGGGGCCTTTTCCAAGTATCATCTTTGAAATCTCGGTGGAATCATTGATAACAATGTTGAATTATTTTCTTTTTGGCAGGACCTCAAGGGGGAGAAGGGAGACAAAGGAGCAATGGGCAAACCTGGACATCCTGGACCCCCAGTAGGTCATTCAGAGTCACATTATTCCTGCAACACACAAAGCAGAACCTTACTGTTCATTCTCATGTATGTTTTACCTCTAAATCTTAACATTGGCTAAAACACGGTAACATTTGACCACAGATGTCATGAATATGCTAGAATTATCTTATGGCCACTTCTAGCCAAATCCTTGCACTGTTGTACATACAGCCAGTGCTGCTCAATTTATGGCATCTCCAGCATCTGCTTTTTTAGCATCTGCTCTGTAATCAATGTGCATAACTAAGATTTCCCTCCTAGATGCCCCATCATTTAAACATTTTTTTTAAATTGCAGAATAATCAGAAGGGACAAATTAGGCCAGGCATGGTGGCTCACGAGTGTAATCCTAGCACTCTGGAAGGTGGGGGCGGGAGGATTGCTTGAGGCCAGGAGTTCAAGACCAGCCTGCACCTATATAGTCCCAGCTACTCAGGAGACTGAGGGAGGAGGATCGCTTGAGCTCAAGACTTTGAGGTTTCAGTGAGCTATGATGACACCACTGCACTCTAGCCAGGGTGACAGACTGAAATTCTGTCTCTAAAAAAAGCAGGTATAAATTAATAAAAATCAATACTTCATAAAACTTGACATAGCTCTAATTGATACAGGGACCGCCTGGAGAATCGTACGGATCTGAAAAGGGTGCTCCCGGAGAACCTGGCCCACAGGTAAATTTGGAAATTCAGTGTCATGTGCAGGCTTTATTAGTCAGGACTCAGGACTCTTTAGGTTGCAAGACTAAGATGCCCAACTCAAACTAGCTTAGATTTTTAAAAAATATATTTTTAAAGGTGGGATTGGGGGTGGGATTATTTGGGAGGTAGGATTGATTTGTTCTGAGAAGTTCAAGGCTAAAACAGGCTTTAAGGACTTCAGAGCTGTAAATATGGGCAGGACTGTCTCTCCATCCAGCTTCTGCTTCTCTCTGTGCATCAGCCTCATTGTCTCTGTTGGCAGATGTCGGGGGAGGGAGGGAGAAAGAGCAAAGTGTAGCAGCAGACAACTCCGGGTTAATGGCATCCAAGGACAAAGCCATCATCCATATATAAAATCCCAAGGAATTAATCTGAGTGGCCCAGCTTGGGTCATGTGTCTCACTCCAGAAAAACTGTGGCCACAGGGAAAAAGTACTATGACTGGCCAGGCCAGTGGGGCCGTGGCTGTGATTGACAGCCCCACCAGAACCACCCACGGTGGGGGAAGAGCAGCTCCCCCCAAAAAATGGGGCCTTGTGCAGAAGACAGAAGCAACAGGGGCCTATTACCCAACCCAGATCCATTTTGGAAAGATTTAGGCACATACAAAATTGTGTAAAAACTCTAAAAATTGTACATTGGGAAAAAGTGTGAGGTTTTTTCCTAAGAAAAAATGTTTAAGGAACATGATTTTTAACTCTCTCAGGAAAACACCATAATTGTTAATCCAAAAGCCGTCTGTTTAGATACCACAGTATTTCTTTTATAGTTATATTTAAATATAAAAGGGTTCAGGGAATTACCAACATTTCAAATAAATAAGTTTGTCTGTGAACACCTCCCTCTTACTAGGCTTCCTCATTCACTTCTCAGCTCAGTGCCTCCTTGACTTTCCTTCCAAATTTCAGGTTAGGAGCATCAACTCTAGTTTAGGGTTAGCTGTTAATTTCTTTGCTTCTTTCCTTTGACTCTCTCGTTTCCTGTTCTGAATGGCTTCTGCCTTCCCTAGGAAGGGAACGTCATTGCCAGTTCTGTGATTAATAGTTTTTCCTTCCAACGCCTGGTAGGGGAGCCACACTCAGTGTTTCTTGCCTGAGGTCAAGAGGAGATGATTGCATCATGTAAGTGTTCCATGTTTGTAAAATTATCCATGTTTTTGTTTTAGGGAAAACCTGGAAAAGATGGTGCCCCTGGCTTCCCTGGCAGTGAGGTAAAGACTTGATTTGGCCCATGCGCGCAGGGAAAGTGTCAGTCCCCCTAGACGAAGGTGGATTTTTTGAGAGTCGCTACGTAGTTATAAACAAACAAAAAGCTACAGCTTTTGAAAAGTACACTCTAGAATCATAGCGTCACACCTTCACTACAAAGAGAGGTCATCTGAGCACATCGTTTTTTATTATTGATTAGCATGCCTTCTGACCTGTTTCCTTTTGTTCTTTTCTTTAGGGAGCCAAGGGCAACAGGGGCCTCCCTGGGTTAACGGGTGAAGATGGCATTAAGGTAATCCCCTCCCGAACATCCCACCTGCAGCCTTTTTAATAGGTCGGATTTTGCCTGTCCTTGTCCTTTCCCTTACATCCGGGACCTAGGTACGAGGGACTGCAATCACAGACTTCATTTAAATACCAGTATATGTGTCAAAAAGAAAAGAGAGATGTGGCGACTTTACATACACATTTGGAAGGTGTTCTCGAGGGACCAATATTAAACTGGTTCTGTGTAGTTGAAGCTGGTTGACTTAAGCCCAGTGAGATTTCAGCTTGCCATGAGGAAGAGATGAAGAAGGCCTAAAATTGTAGGAAGCGTCTGGTCATTTGAGATCAGGTGTAGGTTAGATGCCGTGGGATCTCAACCCGAGTCATGACACACTGAAAGGTTGTGATCCATTAGTTGTGAACTGTTTTCTGCATTTCTGACAATACACTGCAGACATTTTCAAACAACCTGTACAGGCATGTGTTGCTTAGCCACAAGGACATGTCCCAAGAAACGCATAGTTAGGTGAGTTTGTCATTGTGTAAACATCCTTACCCACGCCTAGGTAGTCTAGCCTACTACACACTTGGGCTGTGTGGTGTAGCCTATTGCTCCTACGGTATGAACCTGTACAGCATGTCGCTGTACCGAATACTGCAGGCAACTGTAACATAATGGTAAGTATTTGTGCATCTAAACATATCTAAGCATATAAAAAATACAGTAAAAATGTGGTGTGAATCTTATGGGCCCACCATTGACCAAAATGTCGTTATGTGGCACATGACCATGTATGTAGACATATGTGCAGAGTCAAAGTGTATCCTTTACTAGTTTTGCTTCCGGTAGAATTCTGAGATGCCCTCTTGAAAGAAAGGGAGTTGGTTACCACTTGAATACGGAATTGCGTACGACTCACGGCCTGGTTTTCCTGTGTGAGAACACAGGAATGTGTGCTGCATATGAACATCCACAGAAGGTGGTGGCATGAAAGAAACCTGGAGAAGCACTAGAGCACTTCTTTACAACCTTGTAGATAGGATTCCTGACCCAGACACAGGCTCTCTGGGAGAAATTTAAAGTCAGTGTCTCATTAACTTTTATTTGGGTCATATATGACATCTAAAGAACATTACTTTTGGCATTAATTTATGGTTCAACTGTGCATTTTGCTTTTTAAGTATACCAACTGTGTAAATACCTCTGGTTAACATAATTTGTAACCATCTCTCCATGTAGGGATGGAAAGGCGACATTGGCCCTCCAGGATTTCGTGGTCCAGTAAGTGTGATTAAAGACAATATCAGTGCCATGTTTGATCAAGTGCTTTAACGTATGGAGGACATTTTGAATCAGTGTCTCTCATTACCTGTTGTGATACAGAGAGTGTAACATTTACCTTTTTATTAAACCAGGGCAAAAAGTGGCTGTTGTCATTATTTGTCCATTTGACAATGGGTAAAATATTTCAATTTGGTCCCTGGCATGCACTAGTAATGCCCATCCTGGGATAGGGAGGACAAGAAAAGCTTTGTCTAATCAGAGCCGGCCCCAGGTGATCCTGCGCCCTTTGGGTAGAGCTGGCCACTGGGGAGGACATCTGGGAGCCAGCTCCCCCTCCCTCCACCCGGGCCTCAGTGTGACAACTCTAGAGCTTTCGCTCAGCAGAAGCTCACCATGGGCTCAATGCAGGGTCAGCAACAAGCAATCATCCCAGCCCAAGCGCCATTGCGGCAGGTAGTGGTCCTCCTCCCGGTGGGAGCATGGATTTGATGTCAGCTCCTGACTGCATATTCTGTGACTCTGAAGCTGAAGGAGAGGAAAAAAGGGGAGGGGACCCAGGCTCTGTGTGCTGGGATCTGTTCATCTCCTGCCTCAAAAGACATTGGTTCTCACATGCAGCGGGCTGAGTAGCAATACCACGTATGACTGTGCAGGTTGAACAGAAGGGTCCGTGGTGGCAAAACTGTCCTGGGGGCGGGGGGTGTCCTGTTAAAAATGCAGTTCCCAGGTCCCCCAATCCTCAGTAAGTTAGCTCAGTCATTGGAGGGGGGCCTGGAAATCTGAATTTGTACATGGAAAAGCAAATGATTCAAATGCTTGCAGCCCTTGTTTTGGGATGTTTTGTGCTGCCACAACAGAATACCTGAGACTAATTTATTAATATAAATAACAGAAATTTATTTCTCACAGTTCTGGAGGCTGAGAAATCCAAAATCAAGGTGCTGGCATTTGGTCTGGAGAGGGCTTTTTTTGGCCACACCCTCAGGGCAGAGGGCAGAAGGGCGGAAGGGCAAGCTAGCCTAAGGCTGCTCGGACCCTCTTTTAAAAAAGCCTTAATCTCACCAACAAGGGAGAAATCCTCATAGCTGAATCACCTCTTAAAGGTCCTAACCCTTAACACTATGACAGTGGTGACACCTGAGTTTTGGAGGGGCTATATTCAAACCATAGCAGTCCCCAAATGCTTTAACAGAGTTGCAAGGAAGATTAAAGGGATCATTTTGTGAAAGCACTTAGCACGGTGCCAGCACTTGGCAGGTGTACACACATCATTACAGACTTTGTGGTGGAGATTATTATGTAATTTATTTTTATTAATTTGTTGTGAGTTTATACATGTTGCTCAGTCACAAGGCTCTTGTTACCTCATCTTCAAACAAGTCAACAAAGTAATTGGCCCACGCAGCATATAAAAAAAAAAAAAAAACAAAGGGTTTTGGCCAGGCACCGTGGCTCATGCCTGTAATCCTAGCACCCTGAGAGTCTGAAGCAGGAGGATTGTTTGATCCCGGCAGTTTGCGGGTACAGTGAGCTATGATGATGCCACTGCACTCTAGCCTGGGCGACAGAGCAAGACTCTGTCTCAGACAAAACAAAACAAAACAAAACACTAAGAGTTTTTAAAAACCTTTTATGTTCCCATCTTCATTCCTTCAAGATAAATATACTAAATGCTAAGTAAAATCTACTTGCACTGTAGAGGAACTAGCCTTCCTCACTTACTGTGTGTTTCCTTGTGCTCAATTCCATGTGACTCTGTTTGTAGCTACAACTAACTTCAAAATAAATTCTTCTTAGGACGTAAATTGTCAAGGAGACCAGCAGTAGGTCCACTGAGCTGGAAACATTATTCCTTGATTCTTATGAGTCAATGAGGCCCTGGAATTTAAAGAAATAATAAATCCAGTATTTTTTGATGTGTGTATCCCACTATACTTGAAAATACCTTTAGTCCATCAGGACCAGTATTTTTAAAAAAGTGAAATAAAATAGAATAAAAAGTATCAGTGTTGATCCTATGGTATAATGGTAAGCCACTCTTCTGTGAAACTTTAATTTCTTTCACAGATAGGTACGTATTTCTGTGTGTGCATATATAAATGTGGGTGTGTGACCTGGGTCACATCATAAAATGTGTTTCTAATTGAAAGCCCATGGGATATATAATATCATGATACCAGAAAGGTCTACTTTTTCTTTAAATTTATTCATCTGCATATACGTGACTACCATATTCCTGTTCACATATAAACCTATAAATTCAGGAAAATAAAGAAGGTATCTTTTTGGCCAAAATGAAGAAATTGAAGTAATTGTATTTGATGAGCTGTCCATAAATAGCCATCCTTTCTCTTTATTCATTTCTTTCTCCTTTAAGACAGAATATTATGATGCCTATCAGGAAAAGGGAGACAAAGGAATTCCAGGCCCACCAGGGCCCAAAGGAGCTCGAGGCCCACAGGGTGAGAATAAAGCATTTGCTGGACATTTTTCTGGTTTTCTTTTAAGGGAATAAATAGCATGTGCTTGTAGACGTAGGATCTGGGGGGTGGGGGAGAGGGTTAGTGTGAGGAGAGGAAGGGGAGATCTCAATTTTCCTAGAGGGTATTTTTTGATGTCTCTTGATTTCCATATTTTCATTTTGCAAGTGGTCTACCAAGAAGATAATTAAATGATCTGTATGTATTAATAGCAAAACATGAAGTTCAAGAGTGGCAAGAAAACACGTGGGGGGGTGGGCGGAGAAGGGAGTGTCAGGAATTAGCAGTCTCAGTGGGATTAGAGAAAATGGAGACCCTGAAACGCTACAACATGAACAAATCCATACAGATACTTACCAGGAGGGAACTGAAGTCCTGGTTTTCTGACTCCTGGGACAATAATCTGTCCTTGACACCATGAATTGACGTCACATTCACTTATATTGTATCACTTTTGAAAGACTCGAACTTTCCGGGCCAGTAGTGCTCATCTCTGGCTGCATATTAGAATCCCTGGGAACCTCTCAGTAATGACCTTGTCAAGGTCCCACCCTGTGATTCTGAGTTCATGGTCCAGGTGAGGGCCCCGGTCACTGGTAAACCATAAAAATTCCCGAGATTATTCCAATGTGCAGCCAGGATTGAGGATCACTCTGATCTGGACAAATTATTGATATAAACAAGATTTTCAAAGAAGAATTTTACTTAAAAGAATAAAATATCCCAGTATATTTAAGTAAAATGAGAGATAAATACAGCCATTGATAAAAATTTTTTAAAATATGGTATATTTACTATAAATCACACACACACACACACACACACACACATATCAGAGAATTCGAATGCAATGGAATGTTACATCCAGAAGTGATCCAAGATAGAACACCAGGCCAAACTACAGATCCTGGGTGTTTCCAGTAGTGTCTGATTTTATTGCATCTCTGAACTCCCAGAAAAATACTGAACACAGAGCAGGCTCTTAGTAAATCTCTGCTGAATTATGTGAAAATGATAAGGTTTACTTTTGGGCGTTAGACTTCTAAGATTAGTTTCCTCTTGGCAGTTTGTCTAAATAAATGAAGTTTTCTAATATCTATGTGAGAGGAAGAAAAAAGTAGGAAAACTCTGTATTATTAATTATTACGATGTTGTCATCCAAGATTTCAAAAGTGGATAGGGTAGCAATTATATCTTTGTGAGCAATTAATTAATGTTATGTATTCGCAGGTACTAGTGGTCCCCCCGGAGTTCCTGGAAGTCCTGGTATGTCCATATTTCTTGGGGTACAAATAGAAATGCAATTACAAAAGAAAATACACTGCTCTCTATGAAGTTTGCAATATTTACATAAGACAAATGTTTCTCTAATTGATCTAAAAGTGTTTCCAGCTTCTTAATTGTTATCTTTGCAACGTACAGTGGAAAAGGAAGTGGAATTGATACAAAGTAATATAGAAATGCTCTTTTTTACTTTTCAGCAGTTTTCACTAAGTGTAAATGCCTTATGCTCAGCGAATTTTCACAGTTTGACGTGTGAGCAGGGGGCTTGAACTGGGAGGAGGCACAGAGGTGGAAAACAGTAACGTTGTGGTAATTAGGTTGGTTGAAAATGATAATTTTCATAACGTGTCAAAAGTTGCATAAGGATACCCAGGTTATATTTTGTCTGTAAAGTTTGAAACTTCTGTCCGTAAATCATTAGAGTGCTTACCTTTTGAGAGAGGAAGAAGAAGAAGAGGATCAGGATGTCTCCACAGGGGCCCATCAGTTTTAACTGTTCTGGGCTCTTTTTAAAGGAAATAAGACTGAGACAAAAGAGCAAAGATCTGATAAACCAGTGTGGCAGGTGCTCTGCCATTGATTGTATTTTTCTCTGCACAGTGTTGTATATTAAACTACTTCATAAATTTGAAAATGAATTAAAATTAAGCAGATTGCAGAATCATATGTGTACTATTATTAATAATATAATCCTGCTGTAAACAAAATAGATACAGAAATAGATAAATACCATATGTACCTGTATATGCTTGAAAAAAATAAACATCAAACTGGTAACAGTGGATTTTCTTGAAGTTGGAATGGGGCAAAAAGATATTTTAGAAGTCAAGGCAAAGATTAAGGAAGATCTTTCCCCTGTCAGGCCCCTAAGTAACAAATGAATAGGTTCCTTTAAGAAGCAAATGACTAAGAAAGTACCAAGCTCTGGTTCCATAAGAATTTTAGGATTTTTCTTCTATTTTGAGGAAAAATAATATTGGTATTTTGGTAGAGATTGCATTGAACCTGTAGTTTGCCTTGGAGTAGTATGGTCATTTTAACAATATTGGTTCTTCCGATCCACATTGGATGTTTTTTCATTTGTTTGTGTCCTCTTCAATTTCTTTTATAGATGTTTTGTAGTTTTTCTGGTAGAGGTCTTTCACCTTCTTGGTTAACTTTATTCCTAGGTATTTTACTTTTGTCTGTGGCTATTGTAAACAAGATTGCCTTTTGGATTTCTTTTTCAGCTAGTTCATTATTGGCGTACAAAAATGCTACTGATTTTTGTATGTTGATTTTGTGTCTTGCAACTTTACTAAATTTGTTTATTGGTTCCGAGAGTATTTTTGGTGGAGTCAAGGGCAACAAGAGATAGTTAATGGGTACAAGCATACAGTTGGATAGGAGGAATAAGTTCTAACATTTGATAGCAGAGCAGAGTGACAATAGTTAACACCAATGTATTGTGTATTTCAAAATAACTGGAAGAGAGGACTTGAAATGTTCCCAACATGAAGAAATGATAAATACTTAGGTGATGGAGACCCTAAATATCCTGACTTGATCATTATACATTCTATGCATGTAACACAATTCCACATGTACCCCATAAATATGGATAAATATAATGTATCAAAATAAAATAAAATAAATTACAAAGCTCTGAAACAGATATCAATCAGAAGAATTTGCCTTTATACTCAAATAAGAAGCCATAATCAGGTATTACCCATGCTGATTTCTCAGCCCTTTGGTGGTGACACCTCCGTACTTAATAGTTAAACTCTCTGCAAGGCAGAGATCAGAGACTGCCCCCTCCTCACATACTTATCATTTTAGGAGTGGGGTGGGTTTTGTGCCACCTGGCCTGGCTTCTCCCAGGAGATGCCTCCTCCCCCAGCACGGCCTTTTATACCTAAGACATTAGCAGGGAAAAAAGTCCAATTACAACTTTCTCTCTTTCTCATTATGGGCACTGAAAGGTAGGCATCCTCTGGTCTCTAATAAAACGTATCTACCAAGCACCATGTAGCGAAGCATTCCTGGTGAATCCTTTTAATAAAAGGACTACTGTGCATCTCAAACTCTGTTTCAGTTCCTTGCAATAGTTACATAAATTATCTTGAGGGAATGGAGTGTTCTGTGCTTTGCTGTACTGTGACTATTTAACAAGGCCACAGATGAAGAAAACAAGGATATTTGCTTTTTATTTTATATGCTTGATGTGCCTTTCAATTGTATGTAACTTTTAAAAATAACAATAAATCACTTTGCCATTGAAAAATAAATATATATTTATCAGGAAAAAAGCTAGAATACAATAAATGATTATTTTCTCCAAGGACCATCAAGGCCTGGGCTCAGAGGAACCCCTGGGTGGCCAGGCTTGAAAGGAAGCAAAGGAGAACAAGGACCCCCCGGACAGAATGCAGTGGGGCCTCCGGGGTCCCCCGGGTGTCCTGGGTCACCAGGCCCTCCAGGATCGCCAGGACCTCCAGGCCCACCAGGTAAAGATGCGTACTGGGGCCCCTTTTGTGTTCAATGCCCAGGGACAGATGTGTGCAAATCAGGAGCAGTAAACTCTACTCACAGCTTGGCCACGAGTCTGTGGTCTTTATGAGTTACCTTTCCAGTGGCGTTTCATTTCACTAAAACTCTGTGTGAAAGAAAACTATGGTGGAATGACTGCTTTGCAAATGCAGCAAAGTCTTCGCCACGTTCTCCAGAGAACAGAGCAGGAGGGAGAGACGGAGGAAGGCCTTGTCTTTGTCAGTTTTCCCGATAAGAATGAAAGCTCTTTGAGGTCAAAGACCATGTCTTTTTTACTATTTTAAACCCAGTATGTAGCATGGGGGCTGGAACACTGTAGGAACTCAAATATTTGTTGAATTAAGCATGAAATGAGTGTGAAAACATACTGAGTATACACACAAATGTAGAAATGTATAAGTATTCATATGAGTCCACATTAAGTATTAAACTGCCATTTCACTATACTGTATTGTTCAGAGATGGCTATCCAGATATCTTAAAGACACAGAAAACTAGAACACAGACTGGTCATTCTTTTCATAGTCAATCAGATACAGTATGACATTTACCACGTTCCGATTAAATTAAATAGTTCCACTGTTACTTAGTTGCTGTGTAATCTGGGGCCGCTATAGGCACTGTTTTTAAATATTTAGTTTTATCAGTATTGCCTTCAACCTAATATTTAAAATGGCAAGATCAAACATTAGATCACAGAATACAATTTATCAGTGTAAGAGAATTAGCTACTCATTGCAATATTTCAGTAGCAGATAATGTGGAAGATTTCAGCTTTCTTAGAGAGCTGCTTTAAGAGTGACAAACTCAATTGATGTGGACAAGCAATGAGGAGAAAATAAATGATACCCTAAGTCAGAATCCATTTTTTTCACTTGGTATGTATTAAGCATCTACAATATATTGGGAAAATATGATGTATCCAAAACACACAGAAGAATAAGATCTGATTCTTTGCCTCGAGATGCTCAAGGGATTGTCTTGGAATAGCTGGAAACAACTGAATAAGATAACGTGTTGATTATGTGGCAAAAATATCATAAAATGAGATTTCAAAAGCAACTACTTCGGTCTCAGAGAGTAACTCATCTATGTAACATGAAGGGAAGAAGAGCTGGTCCACATGCATCAGCCTTCTCAGTTGCAAATAAACTTCTAAAGACTCGGCAAAGATGGAACAGATGCATGTAAAAAAATAATGCGTATGTTAAAACACTTAATAAATTGAAAACACAAATAAACATCGTCTTTGGTGTTGTGTTTTTATAGGTGACATCATTTTCCTCAGGGGTCCACCTGGAGATCATGGACCGCCAGGCTGCATAGGGGCTCCAGGAAACCCAGGAGTGGATGGGCCCAAAGGTTGGTTCGGTCAATAGTGGTGTTCTAGTAGAAAAAGCCATTCTCATCATCATTGCTGTCACTGTCTTTTCGCCCTGAGACAACAATGATCCCAAACAATAGACAGTCAGGGATGGCTTCTTTTCCCAAAAAATTATCTGAAAGTGTTCATTTATCTGTAAATGAATAATGTATTTAGCACCTATGCAGTAACTGTCAGTTATCCTTAGAATGTGAGTTTTAGCCTGTGTTCAAGGAGAGAAACACTGAAATAGATGTTTTATGTTAGACTCTTGGAATTTTCTCTCTCAGAACTCTACAGCTCAGTATAATAAAGTAAGTATATATATATATATATATTAGATGAATTTTTATTAATATGCACAATATCCTAGATGATTCACACTACATAAAAAATGTTCAAATGTAACAAATGATTGTGTGGTTGGAAAATATCTGTCCTTTCTGAGGACTCATCATGGGTTCATAAGTAATGCAAGCGTGCTCTATTGCAGGAGACCCAGGCCTCCCATGCACACAGTGCCCTTACACCCCAGGACCTCCCGGCCTCCCAGGACTGCCGGGGCTACCTGGCGTAAAAGGAATCCCAGGTAGGGACAATTTACACACAAGTGTTTTTGTGAGCACAAAAGAGTCAATACACTGGGAGACTCTTTTAAAAAATAAAGGTATTAAATTGCTGGATGTCATAATGTGGTTTACATGAATCTGGAGAGAGCATTTCAAAAACATATATTCTGTTAACACAAAGTCATCCAAAATCCAATAAAAGCTGTTATTTCTCCCTGTTGCATTTTAGTTGCAGAACTCTAGCAAACTATTGTGTTAGCCAGGAATTGTCGACAGACGCAGATTCCTACAGGGAACCAGCAGGTAGCTGGAAGCAGGGAAGCAGCCCTACTAAACACACATCACTTTTTTCTTCCATAAAGAAATGAGCTCTCTCCCTTTTTTACTCAAAAGACATGACCCTTCCCAGTCCATTTTTATTATGTTCCCACTTTTAATAGAGTCATGGGAATAAGCAGTACTTCACTTTCTTCTTAAGGATACCAGTGCAATAAAAAATGACAACACCCTCAGTGCTGGGGACGACAGGTGAGCACTGCAATATGCAGAGAGCACAATAAAATCGACCGGCGGGAGGACTGTGGTTACTTGTCAGCATGTCAGGCCCTGTGTTAATGAATCTTCCAACTTTTCATGAGAAGAAAGAAATCCGAATTTTTATCTGAAATCTCATGATTTTTTTTTTATTAGGCGTTAACTCAATTTTTGAAGAGAAACAACATTTTATAGACAATGTTCTAGGGACTAAAGTAAGCAGGACTCTCAGGCCTTCTCTTGACATCTCTGTGCCAGAGCAGGACTCTCCACCCCCAGGCCCGTGCTCCTGGCTGTCACTGCCTCTGCTTGTCAACTGCCCCTTCCTTAGTCATGGGACTGGCCATGGGCTAAACCCTGAAATACAAAAAGTTTCTGTGTATTGGTTGGGTTCTGTGATGCCACACGCACTGTTGGTTCAGCCATCAGCACCTTGGGCTTGAGGCTCCATCATGGAGTTATTTATCATTAACCAACAAGAGTGCAAGTCACAGAGCCCTTGGCCAGTGTGCTGGGCACTAAGTGTCCTCTGTGCCTCCATTCCTTTAGTTCTCGCATCAACCCTAGAAGTAAGTGCATCATCACCCCCATTGCACAGATGAGGAAGTTGAGGCATGTAAGGTGACATAGCTCATGGATGGCAGAGCCCAGACTCAAATCCACACGTTCTCCTCCAGAGGCATGCTCTTGCCCTCCACGCTGATGTCCATGGATTGCCGCACTGTCGCCTGTCTCCTTAGGGGCTGCTCTTTGGGGCGAGTTAATGCGAAAGTCTACCTGGCTACCCAGATGGGGGAGGTTATGTGTTATCACTATCTGGAAGATATTTGCATCAGCACAGGGTCTGCTGGGAGGCTGGACTCAGTCCAAAGAAGAAAGGCTAATGGTGGCGGCTGTGGGCACCATGGCCAGCCAAGGGAGGACATACACTTTGGCAGGAATCTTTTGTCCCCCTCAGATCTCACCTTCTTCTCCTTTATAAAGGCCTCTGCTACTTTGCAATGGCCGCCACTGCTCTGATGCCCTGAAATAGGCCTGAGAGGGAAGGCGGGGCAGAGAGGTGGCTGTTCCTCATGTAGCTCCTTTTCATTTCCTATTTCCCCCCAAGTCTCTGGGGGAAATATTGTATTGAAACAAAAACTAAAAAGAAGGGAGGAAGGAAGTGAAAAAAGGAGATAAAGAATAAAAGATAAGAAACCATTATTTTCCTACATTCCCTGAGTCTCACCTGTGGCCCATGGTGAGTAGCTCATGGATGAACCAGCTCACTAATTGAATTATTGTATTTTTCCTTCACTTTTCTACATTTGGCATATCCAGGTATGGCTCAAAGGAGATGTATAAGTAGTAAAATGGTTTGGATTACTATATCCTGGCTTAATATCTTGCAAAAATAGAATCCGAATAAACGTTTGTTGATGAACTGACATGAGACCCATCCAAGATTGTCTAAAGGGATTATCTTTACAGAGTTATTTAAATACCTGTGGGAAGTAGTAATAAATGATGGCCCACTCACGTGATAGGCTACTATGTAGCCATTTAAAATGAAGCTATAAATCTATACTTATTGACATATATATAGTATGATTCCAAAATAGTGTGTATATGAGTCTTGTGCACTTATGGATATAGATTTATGACTAATATGCATTAAAATTTAGCAAACATTACCTTCTGGTAGTAGATTTATGGGTGATTTTTAGTATCTTCATTCGTATAATGTTCTTTAAAATTACTTATAAATGTTCTGTAAAATTATCTTTACAAGTAATATATGCTCAGAAAAAAATAAATGTATAATTTTAAAATTACAAAGATGTGAATTTTAAAAAGCTAAAATCTAGGCCGGGTGCAGTGGCTCACGCCTGTAATCCTAGCACTCTGGGAGGCCAAGGCAGGCAGATAGCTCAAGGTCAGGAGTTCGAGACCAGCCTGAGCAAGAGCGAGACCCCGTCTCTACTAAAAATAGAAATTAATTGGCCAACTAAAAATATATAGAAAAAATTAGCAGGGCATGGTGGCACATGCCTGTAGTCCCAGCTACTTGGGAGGCTGAGGCAAGAGGATCGCTTGAGCCCAGGAGTTTGAGGTTGCTGTGAGCTAGGCTGACACCATGGCACTCTAGCCTGGGCAACAGAGTAAGACTCTGTCTCAAAAAGAAAAAAAAAAAAAAAGCTAAGATCTGAGTTCTTTTTTACATTATCGCTTATTCCAGTTATTTACTCCCATTCTCTCTTTGCATTGTGTGTTTTATGATAGAAATCATCTTTCTTTCCTTATAAGAAAACACCCTATTTTCTCCATACGTTGCATTCCCCTGGCTACTGAGAGTCAGTATTCCATATATGGTGTCTACAAGTACTTAATCTTCATTGCTTTGCAGGAAGGCAAGGTGCAGCTGGTGTGAAAGGAAGCCGGGGGTCCCCAGGAAGTGCAGGTCTTCCAGGATTTCCAGTAAGATTTCATGGTTTTAAAGCTTTTAGCTTCAATTTGAAAAACTGTCCAATATGTTTGCACCACACTTAGGTGCCTGGCAAACAGTAGATGCTTAATAGATACTTGTTGATTAAATGAATAAATGAAGGATGTGTAAATGACTAAGCAAATGAATTAATGAATTTACAAATCATTTAAAATGATATCAGACAGATCAGTGGCTGCCTGGGGCTGAGGGTGGGAACAGGGAATCATTGTTCCCCAGATTTGAGGGGATTTGGGGGAACAATGGAAAAGCTTTAACACGAACTGTGGTGAGTGTGGCCTGATTCTATAAATGTACTACAAATCATTGAAATTTACTCTTACAAAGAATGAATTTTATGGTATGTAAATTATATGTCAATAAGCCTGTTAAAATCAAAATCTTGATTATCATGGTGATATGTTCTTAATTCAAATTATTCAGAGAGGCTTGTTAAAATTGATCAATATTCAAACATGATCTGAGCTGATGATTGTTGTATTGAATAATATTATGGTGTGTATTGCACTGAATTGTACTAACTGAATTCTTTTCCAGTTCTGTAAGTAAAAACGAAGCAAAACAAACAAAATGCTTGAATATTTGTGAGCCAAAGAAAGTGTGTTTACAAAAATCCACATTTCTTAAAATTGAAAAGACCTTGTTGACACTGTTTCTAAGATTGATGAGGGACAACTCTATCAAAATTCAATCCATACTACTAAGTGAAGTATCCCAAGAATGGAAAAACAAGCACCACATATACTCAATGCAGAGTCTTTGTCTATACTCTCCTAGGGGTTCCCAGGTGTTCCGGGTGATCCAGGACTTAAAGGAGAAAAAGGTGAAACACCTTGGCCTGAGGGACAAGTTGGTGCCCCAGGGGAACCCGGGCTCAGAGGGCAACCCGGGAGAAAGGGCTTGGATGGAATTCCTGGAACTCCGGGAGTGAAAGGATTACCAGGACCTAAAGGAGAACCGGTTGGTATTTAGCAGCTTTTTTTCAAAATTACCCTCCCTGTAAATAAAGTTAAGTGCTCTGAAGTTAAGAGATAAAGTGATTTCCTTTCAAAAAATGGTTGGCCACTCAGCACAGTTCATCAGTCTACCTGCAGAATGAGGCAGCTTCAAATTAGCAGGAACCTCGCAAGCAAATATTCATAAGTACTGTGACAAAATAAATAGGCAGCATTCAATGATTTAGCCCAGTTATAATCCGACATTGCTAATGACCCTGCTTTATACACAAGTTACAGTTGTATATTTGTATGAAATTAGTTTATGGAGAAATTCAGAAAACGACTACTAGTGGAATGTTTCAGTAAATATTTTGGGGGCAGTGTCCATTCTTTTAAGTAAAAAATAAATACATGAAGACAGCATGCTTTGGGGTATGGTATTCAAATGAAGAGAGCAAATTTAAAATATATGAGCCTCTATGTAAATCCAATCCCTTTTCACAGGATAAAATTTCTCACATGTTGGAGAGGTAACATCTACTGGGATCTGTCTTTACAGGCCCTGCAGTAAGAGGTTGTACACCTCTCATCATAATGTAGCTGTGAGAAGTTTGCAAGGCATGCTACCCAAACTATTCCACCAAATGCCAGTTTTTCTCAGGGTTAATCTGTTTTATCCAATATAAAGTGTCCCACCTCAAACAGGTTTGGGGAAGCTCGGTAAACAAATTTCAAGATTCATTTACAGACCCATTTAACATCAGAATCTGAATTGTGATATTAAAGAGGATCAACATGTAGACACAGTATGCAGTCTTCCCTAGACCCTACTGACTACAGAACACATTCTGGCTGGGAGTACCCGCAGGACCAGAGTTTCTCAGATCCTACTTTGGCAAACTCCCAGGCTGTTCACTTTGTGATAGTTATGCTTTAAAGGGACAGTGTTAGAATTCTGTTTCTACTATTAACAGAGATGCTATGATGCCCCCATTTGCATCTCACTAATTTTTCTTTATTAGTTTTTATAAAGATGCTCCAGATGGGGGATGGACATGCCTGAAGCTCTTACTCAAGGGGGGTGGGGGGCATGGGCAATATATGTAACCTTAACACTTGTACGCCCATAATATGCAAAAAAAAAAATAAAAAAAAAAAACAGACAAACAAAAAGATGCTCCAGAAAGTAAATGAGAGGAAATCAAGAAGATGATTTGTTGAGTCTTACACTCTATCATTTTATATATATATATATGAGAAACACCACTTAGCCATGAAGATATTGAACAATGAATCAAAAGTCCTGGGGGACCATGTTGGGGAGAAGGTGCTTCAACTGAATTTATCAAATTCAACTTCTTTAAAAATACACAGCTCATTTTTGAAAGTTACAGTGTATACATTTTAAAAAAAAAGAGACATTTTATGAGAAGAAACTAACACAGGTGCAATACCTTCTTTGTAATGAAAATATCTGGTGAAAGCCACACAAATAAAGGTTTGCTGTCCTAGTTTTACTTTAGAAATGTAACATTAGCATGAATATCAGCTCTAAAGCCATTTGAACGGTTGGCCAATTTGACCTTAGCAACATCTTATGGACTTGGAACTGTCTTAAGTCCCACTTGAGCTATCCTACAATGACATGTCTCCCATAGGAGAATAGCCACTAAAACCTGAATTCAAATTCCAAAGGGCATAAAACAGCATAAAACCTTCAGTGCTCTTATTTTATTAATAATTCCCATCAAATGCCAACTGCTTTTTAATTTAAGATCTTCTCCATGACAGCCTAGCTAGTATTCATGCTTGGGGTATGATTAACCTGTTGTAAGAAGATACTGGAATGAAACACTATCCACATTCCTATTGTCACAGGCTCCACGTGGTGAGAAGAGAGACCAGGGTCCTCCAGGGGATCCTGGCTCCCCTGGGTCCCCAGGACCTGCAGGACCAGCTGGACCGGCTGGACCACCTGGCTATGGACCCCAGGGAGAGCCTGGTCCAAAGGGCACCCAAGGAGTTCCTGGAGCCCCTGGACCACCCGGAGAAGCCGGTTGGTTAGTTTTCTTTCCAGTCCTGTTTTCCTGTGGAGTGGGTTGGTGGTTCCTAGAGCTAAGGAAGCTCCTCCAAGATGAATGAAAATATAGAAACTTGCTTCTAACAAATGGAACATGTCAATTCATAGACACTGGGAAAGAACTTATAGGATATGGTGGAGAAAAACCATTTTTCCCAGTAACTGGGCAATTCAACTGACATTTCCTAGGATAGTCAATCTCTATTACGGATATAAGTACATAGAATGAACAGATCCTAAGTGATGAGTGGAAGGCAGTTATGATAAACATAATAAAGAAAGGGGAGGCAAAAACCTATGAAACTGGTCTTGGGAAGCCTCTTCCAGGCCTTCAGCGCCCACTAGTCTTGTTGCAAATTTGGTCTTTTTGGTCCATAACTCAATAGGCAGGTTTTAAATAAAACCTTAAAATATCTAAGATAAATGATGCAAAGTTGTCTGATAATAGTTTTAAAGGAAGTCCAAATAGCTTTTGAGATCCCCATAAACTGAACATGGCTCTGTATTCAAGAGGAATCAGATCCTTAATGTTTGTCTGTGGCCAAAAATATGGCAGGAGATGAAAATAGCACAATACCAACAGGTTTAAATAAAGAATGCCACTATGATCATTTACTTCTCAAGTCATTTCAAAGGGTAATACTCAATAAATTTGTGGTATCCAAATCATTTTTTATCTTTTTCTTATTTTATCTTTTTTCCCTTTTTAAGAAAAATTTATACTCGCTCTGTTGCCCAGGCTAGAGTGCAGTGACATCATCATAGCTCACAGCAACCTGGAACTCCTGGGTTCAAGCGATCCTCCTGCGTCAGCCTCTTGAGTAGCTAGAGCTAAAGGCATGCACCACTGTAGCCTGCTAATTTTTCTATTTTTTGTAGTGATGGGGTCTCGCTCTTGCTCCTGGCCTCAAGCAATCCTTCTGCCTCAGCCTCCCAGAATGCTGGGATTACACGCATGAACCAATCAATCATTTTTTAGTGTCTCCCTCATCAGTAAAACTGAGTGTACATCGCCATATTATTCATATTATAAGTTGTATGCATCATTTCTCTCTTTATGTAAATCTTATTTTATGTCTCTTTCTATGCATATAATAAATATGTATATTTATTTACTTTTCTCTGCACCTTACTTTGGAGGCTGCCGAGAAGAATAAGTCTAACTCAGGGATTAGCAAACTACGGTGGTCCATAGTCCAAGTCTAGCCCACAGACTGTTTTTGTGTAGCCTGCAAGCTACGAATAGTTTTTACACTTTTGAATAATTGAAAAAAAATGTTTAATAATAATTTGTAATATAAAAAAATTATATGCAATTCAAATTACAGTGTTCATAAATAAAATCTACTGGAGCACAGCCACACTTACTTATTTATGTGTTGTCTCTGGCAGCTTTGGTGCTACGGTGGCAGAGTTGAGTAGTTGAATAGATGTGGACCACAAAACCTAAATTATTAAAGCTTATTGACTCCTGTTCTAATCCATCATCAAATGCTCTTCTATTCTTTGGAACCCATTGTCATGAAATATATTCTTAAATTTTTCCCATCACACACTGTAAACCTATTTTTTTCTATATGGACAACACTTACCACTAATATGTTTTTAATGTTGGCTACTGTTTTTCTGTTGGCCACCGTGGACAGAACATTATCTAAAATCCTTACCTGCTGGGGTAGATATTGTTCCCTCCCAGACAGAATGAGGAATTTATCAGAGATTAAGCAAAGTGTCCAAGCTCACAGATCTTATAGCAGAACCAAGATTCAAGCACACATGGTCTTTACCACATCAAAACTTACTGTTTTGTTCAATGTATCATGCTGACTTCCTGTGAAAACTAGTCACCTAATAAATAAATAGCCTATTCACTAACATTTAAACTTAATTCCGTAGTACAAATTTTAGAATAGGCTTTCTTTCACTAGACCAGCATGTTGGACTATTAATTAAAACAAAACTTAGACAATAGCATATACTTATAACATTTGTTAATTGAATAAGAAACTTTCTATGTGCTGGTCTTCCTTATGCTAGCTTTGAAACCTGTAGAAGCAGGGACTATTTTCTGTTTCCCTTGGGATATGTTTATAATCAAATTTCCCCCTATCATCTAAGGAAATCTTCAGTGTGCACCTCGATCTTATAATCACAAATTTCCTTAAGGTCCTAGGGGAGAATTCAGTGTGTCAACACCAGTTCCAGGCCCCCCGGGCCCCCCAGGACCCCCTGGCCATGCCGGCTCCCGAGGTCCACCCGGTGAGTAACCCCTTTGCCAAATCGGGTATGTGGCATCAGGCAGTACCCTGACTCTCTGGAAAAATACTGTTCCCACTGTAAGTAAAAGCTCTGTTCATTGCCTTCAAAAGAGAGCGCAGGGCAGAGCCCTGTCAGATAACAAGCAAGCAGGCAGGGGCTTGCTGTCGTTCTCTGAGGTTCTCCAAATTATTCCTGCTGGTGCTTCTGCTATAAAAGTTCCAAAGGAGAACAGGTAAAATGACTTTAGAGGAATTCTAGAGGAGAACAATTTATGTGTAGTGTTGGGGGTAGGGGAGAAAGCAATGTTGGCCCATTGGCAATGAATCATTATATTTCCCATAGCATCTTCATTGAAAAACTTAATCTCTTTGCCAGTGTGATCTAAAACTGAATTTTGCATGCATGGAAGGAGACTTACAAAGTTCAAGATGTCTGGAATATTTCCTTTTAGAAATTAAGTTATATTGTTAAAACTCTTTGCAGCTCCTCATGATTAGTTCATTGGATAGGGAGGTGGGGAGGAAGGGTATACAGTTGGGGTTATGTTAAAAATTATTCCTTAATTTTTCAAAAGGGCTGGGATGACATAGAGAAATTAGACATTTTCTTTTTAAACAAGACGCAGGCAAGTTGCTGATGCGGAGGGCTGTGTGTCTGTGTTTTTAAGGCATTCCTGGATCCATGGGAAAGTGTGGTGATCCTGGTCTTCCCGGGCCTGATGGTGAACCGGGAATTTCAAGAATTGGATTTCCTGGGCCTCCTGGACCTAAGGGTAAATTAAAAAATTTTAAAACCTAGGGTTCATTGTTGATATTTAGAAGGTATAGGTATAAATAAATTGAATAAAATAGAATATAAAGATATAAATATACTATATGATATAAAGTGAATAAAATAAGAACTAGCCATAATGTCCTTTAAAATGTCAATATTTCCAAGTATTAAATAGGGGTCAAAAATCTTACAATGATGTTAGGTGAAAAGGCAGAATTCACATTGATTTATGCCGTCTCAGTTCAATTGTATGTTTAAAAATGCATAGAAAACTACTGGAAGGAACTTCACCAGAATGGTAAATAGTGATTCTTCTTCATTGTCAGATTATAAAGTTCTTTTGTTACTTCTTAATAAATGTCCACACTTTTTATATTTATACATTTCTCACTTTATACATTTCTTTTTTTTTTTTAATATGAAAGGAACTACTAAATTACAAATAGCTGATTTCCTCATAGATTCTCAATAGATTATGGAAGTTATTTTCCTTTAGGAAAAAATGCTGTTTCCTCTCAAAGGGGAAACTCTCCCAAAAAATCCAGATGTTGAGAGCTAAGGCTCCCCTCTGGCGAGTATATCAGAGTCCCACCCAGGATGACATATGAATAACCTCAGTCCCTGGGTTGTCGCACAGAACTGAAGGTTTTATGATAATTTCATGTTTGTTTCAATATTATTTAGAATGCTTGTCAAAATATAAAACTTTTGGTGTTTCATCTCTTGGATTAATAAGTCATCAATGTTTATTATATATGAATTCTGCCAAAATATGAGAATACTGGTTTTAATTTATGAGTATTTTAAATGGAAAACATAATCACATTTTTTATATGGTCTTTGAGTACAATTTCTTGGATTTCTTCCTAATAATCTGAGAAGTAATGAAGCCTAGCTGATATTTTTACCTAGTTCTTCTTGGACCCTGCATTAATAAATGACTAGGTTTGAAACTCTATGCATTCACTCTCTGGAAGAAGACTGTAGACTATGGGAACAAGAACTAGCCTAAAAGCACCTTGAAAGTGGAGATTTACAATTTCACAATGGAATCCAATGAATCCCATGAACTAACTGTGAATTTAACAATGGTCAAATTAGGAACAGAAAGGAACTCTCTGAATATACCTTGCTTCGTGAGGGTTTCCCCGTCTGAACCACATAACATAGAATATGATGCGTGACTTCTTTCTCAATTATCCTATTATTAAGGTTAATATAAATGCATAAGAAGAAGTTAATTCATTACATACAATGTATGCATTAGGGCATTGGGACTTAATTCTCTTGAGCAACACTTATTGAGAACAGCTACCTGGGGTGCTGCAAAAGCTCCATATCTTGGTCTGGGTCATGAATACACACGTAAAAATCCATTTACCTATATACTCTATGTAAAATATGCTTCACAAACAAATCTAGCCAGATGGTCAATCAGCATCAGTGGTTTGAAGAATTGCTGAACCAAAATCGTAGCATACTAAACAACAAAAATAGAGAAAGTCATTTTTTTAAATTGGGAACCAATATAATATGACTTGGAACTGATTTTTTAAATTGCTAACTTATCAGTTGGTTTTCTCGTCATTCAAGCTTTTGTAAAAATATCTCTAGCTGATTAAGAGATAAAAGACTTAATGCTCAGGATCTTTCAATAAGACAAAACCTGCAACATTTGTTTTTTTCTCTGTAGGAGACCGAGGTTTTCCAGGAACAAAAGGATCACTGGGTTGTCCTGGAAAAATTGGAGAGCCAGGGTTACCTGGAGAGCCAGGACCCCCAGGACCCAAGGTCTGTAAGAATTAAAACTCAGACTGCCACAGGGGAGGGGAGGGGTGACCATAATTGGTCAGTTAGGATGCCCCCACCAGCAGGACACTCTGTGTGTAGAAATTATCTGTGTATTTGCAGTTGATGAAGATATTAAATACTTTTAAAAGCATCCTCCCTTTTAGAAAGAAAAATAGAAGGTGTTAGAAGGCAGGTTTCCATTTCTTTCTTCCTTAAAACCTTCATAAACAGTATTTAAAATGGGAGAACTCTAGAAAGAAATGTGGGTAGCCATGAGAAAAGCTATCAAAAGTAAAGACATCTAGATTTTTCTGTTTACACACAGTCTTCTGAAAAAAAAATGAGGCTCTGTATCCTGAAGCATTATTAAGCATAATTTTATAGAAAAGTCTGCAACTAGAGTTGAAAATGGCAAGTCGATGGAATGGTGGTTTCCGTGCAAAAAGGACCAAGAGCCTCCGTAACATAGAGGTTATTTTCAAGTAAATAGCCCTGAAGACGAGTCAGTATCAGTGAGGATTTGGAAGCATTATATAGTAAAACTAACACAATTTCTGTGCTATAGGGAGAACCAGCACTAGCCATGCCTGGAGAACCAGGAACACCAGGTTTTCCAGGAGAAAGAGGCAATTCTGGGGAAAATGGAGAAATTGGACTCCCTGGACTTCCAGGTCTCCCTGGAACTCCAGGAAATGAAGGGCTTGATGGACCACGAGGTACAATAGCAAGTGTGATTACTTTTCTCCACTGTGAGCTCGGCTAAAATGCAGCAAACTGAACGTGTAGGTGCTCTAGGGGCGAAGGATTCTTCTCAAATAATCTTCTAGTTCAATCAGTAGACTCTGTGGGACCTAATTTCCCATTCTATGTTACTGCTCTACCTTTCTTTCTTCTTTCTTTCTTCCTTCCTTTTTTCCTTTTTCACCAGTGCCCTCTACAATTAATAGTATTAAATATGGTATTCAATATAGGTCTGATTTAGGGGGGAAATGTTACAGAAGAATGATTGGTATGGCAATACCAGAACCTTTAGTTTGGGCAGCTGAATATGCTCTTGGACTCTCTTTTGCAGGAGATCCAGGGCAGCCTGGACCACCTGGAAAACCAGGACCCCCAGGAAGATGCATAGACGGTCCCAGGGGAGCTCCAGGACTTCCAGGATTAAATGGATTAAAGGGGCAAGAAGGTAGGAGGAGGGCCTTGATGCCAGTCACCAGCCGGGCAGGTGACGTGGGCCTCCTGCTCTGGACTTTGCTTCTCGCCATGGGAACTGTCCAGCAACAAGTCCTGACCACCATTCAGGGAGAAATGTTATTTCAGAAATGTAAACTTTGCTGTCATGGATTTGATGCACATGGCAGTGTGTGCCGCCTATAGAGGAAGTTAAGATAGTGAGTTGGTTTGTGTCTTTATGCAAGAAAGTGTGAACACTGAAGATAGATTAGATAGAGATATAGAGAGAGAGATAAAGAGAAAGATAGATGTGTATTTACATACATATAAACTTTCAGAAAACATTTTACCTTTCATATTCCATAAGTATATTAAGTGTCAATTTATCCTAATTATTAAAATAGAGTAAATGTAGAGCAAAGATACCAGTTTTAAAAATTACAGACTAAAATGTGTATTTGATGCTTTATACATGACATGAAAGAAAGGATGTGAAAGTAAATCTAAATGACAGAGGCTGGATGTTCCAGACAATGGGTAACTTGCTTTGTCATTTGGACCTTCTCAACCAGACCTAGTGAACTGTTTCTGGGAAAAATTAATGTCCGTGGGCTATCGCACTGCTTATACGTTCACAGATAAATTTTTGGCCAAGACCTTAATTGTTATAACAGTGCAATTATTGTTTCCAGAAGCATCCAGAGGCTCACCTCCAAGTGAGTGGCTCTGTATGCCTTCCGCAGGTTAAAGACTGAGCCACAGTCAAAAAGTGTAGTCCCAGAATGTGCCTGCAGGATTAGGAAACAGATATAAATACTACACTTTTACTACTGCATGAATCATTGAAACAGAGAGTGTGAAATCCAGAAGGAATCTCAAAAATTTTATGGAGGGGGACACTGAATCAATCAATCAATAAATAAATGGTGTGGGGGGGGAGAGAGAGACAAGTGTGCAATTTACCCAAAATCACACAGTTAAATATCTACAGTGATAAAATATTTCTGGAGTTGGTGGAGAAAGCACTTGTGTGTTAATTCATTTATTTGTCCATTTATCCATATACAGGCAGGAGAGGTGAAACAGGGCCAAAGGGAGACCCGGGGATTCCAGGCTTGGATAGGTCAGGACTTCCTGGAGCACCTGGACCACCGGGAATGCCGGGTCATCGAGGCGAGATAGGACCACCTGGTCAAAAAGGATATTCAGGAAACCCAGGATTTGTAGGGCCACCAGGTATCCTTTTCTGTGTGTTAATTTTTTGTCTTACATCTTCTTCCACACTTTCCCCTTAAGGTGGCTCTGTAAACTGTATGGAGGCATAGGCTTTTGATGCTATGCTTTTCTTTCAGTTAGTGTGGGGTGGTGGGGGATGATCACACTTCACGATCACCCAGGATGTGGCTACTTTTGCTCTGTAAGCCCTTTTATATACTATAATACTACTAAATATGTTCGCTAGTATTTTGTTAAGAATTTTTGCATTTATATTCACAAGGGGTATTGGTCTGTAGTTTTCTTTTCTTGTGATTTCTTTGTCTGGTTTTGGTATCAGGGTAATGCTGGCCTTACAGGACAAGTTGGGAAATGTTTCCTCCTGTTATATTTTCTGGAAGAGTTTGTGAAGAATTGATACTCTTTAAACATTTGGTAGAATTCACCTGGGAAGTCATTTGGTAGAATCCATCATTTCTTTGTGGGAAGTCTCTAAATTACTAATTCAATCTTTTCACTTCTTATATGTATCTTCAGACTTTCTACTTCTTCTTGAGTCAGTTTTGGTAATCTGTGTTTCTCTAGGAATTTGTCCATTTGGTCTAAGTTATCCAATTTGTTGCCATGGAGTTTTTAATAATATTCCTTTATAATCCTTTTTATTTCATGGCTATTTTTGTAGTTTACATGTTTGGGAAGAATGTTCTAACGATTTCCTCATAGCCTAAGGACCTCACTGATCTCCCCTCCAGAGAAGAGCCCAGAACAACTTAATCAGCAAATTCTCCTTTCATTCATATTACTGAGCTGCTTTCATGTGCCAGCACTGTTCTAAGCTCTAGGGACACATCAGGGACAAGTGTCCCCTGCCCATAGTAGAGGAGGAATAGCAAATACATTTAAGAACCAAGGTCCACTTGAGACAAGTGCTATGAAGAAAATAAAATAAAGGGATATAATAGAAAGCCATTGGTCAGGGGTTGGGAGGATGGAATGCTCCAAAACTTTACCATAATCTAGTCTCATCCACACATGTGGCTTGCTACCGATGACATCCACATACATGAAGTAAAAAAGGCCATTTACTGATCCATCTCCTAGACAAATATGGTTATTTTCCTATTTACAGAAACCATTCTTTCAACTCCCAGTCTTACCTTCTAAGTATAATTTTTTTTATTTTATGGAATATTTTGCTTCTCTCATCCTTCTGTACAACACGTGCTGCTGGGTGTTCATTTGTTTCCACAGGTGAAAATGGAGTGGTCGGGATGGTGGGCTATCCTGGAGCCACTGGCCCCCCGGGGCCACCTGGGAACCCGGGCACCCCAGGTCACAGGGGTAGGTGATGGAGCGTCTTCCCAGCTATCAGGAGGCATCGACAATGGCCATTTATTTAGCAGCAAAATAAGTTACATTTCATTCTTTGCGGAACAAATAGTTCTGAGAGAACAATGTATTTAATTTTCTGTATCCTTTTCCCATCTGAATGGAAGCCTATTTTCTCCTTGCAGGCTGATACCACTATACTTACGGGGCTGCCTGTTTGGGCAACCTATTTATCAAGTTCTCAATGCTGTTAGCCTTTTTTTGTTTGTTTGCTTTGCTCTGTTTTATTGTGATCACTGTTAAGTTTTGAGTCCCTATGAACCCAGGACCTGATGTTGTTACTCCTGTCTGTTAGGTAGCCCTGGAGTTCCAGGAGTAAAGGGCAAGAGAGGACACCCAGGAGCAAAAGGGGACCCAGGAGACAAAGGGAACCCGGGTCCGTCTCAGATAACCCTTTTAAAGGGGGACAAAGGAGAACCAGGTCAAAAAGGTAAAGAATTTCTTACATTTAGAATCAGAACACCAGGCTGGGCACAGTGGTTTACACCTGTAATCCCAGAACTTTGGGAGATTGATCGCTTGAGGCCAGGAGTGCAAGCCTAGCCTGGGCAACAGGAGTAATATAATCATCTCTGAAAAATGAAAATAAAACAAAATAAAATAAACTTCTCCAGCTGAAATTAAAACCTCTATCCAAATTCAACTTTATCCTGTTAACTACCAGGATAAGTTTTTTGTGATTGTTATATAGTCAATATAATCAATCTAAAACCAGATTTTATGAAGGCCTCTCTTGCAGTCTTGTTGACCAAATTTAATCCCAAGTAACTTTAGAAAACAGAGAATTACTGGGTAAAATGTTACCTTTGCAGACTTTCATAGCAGGGAAGGAATACAAGAAAAATGTGTTTGCAATTGCAAAATCATATCAAGCTTTGAGAAATTTGTAATAAATTTTGAGAAATGAGATTGTGTTCAATAAATACTTATATCTTTACCACTTAAGGATTTGTAGTCTGAGTGAAGATTTGCTTTAAAAATTCTGCACGGAGTGCTGCAGACCACGATGAAAAGACTAACCTAGAGAGTTAGAAAGGAAAAACTTTTGAGTAGTTCCTATTTAACCTGGTGTTGAAGACATAGTTTAGTTCTGGTGCAGACAGAGGATAGCAATAAAATAGAAAGTAATATGAATTTTATAAAACTTTCTTAGAACTGGTCTAAGCCAAGATATGAAAAACAAAATACTGACTCAAATTTCCAGTCCTTATAAACTGACTGCACAGACATCATCTCACTAGACTATTCTAGATTATTTAATCAGGGTTAGAAACATTTTGAAAAAACATATGCATAGTATATCTATGCCTATGTGAGCCAAAAATGTGGCTCTCACAGCATAAATGCACAGTGAATACTAATTTACAATTAAAGAATTTCTTTTGTAAAGTATAGAGGGACACATGCTATTTCTATGCTTCTAACAAAATTCTTTTACTCACTCAAAGTACAGTATGTATCGAGGCTGTTCTGTGTGTTCTCTTTTGGCTTTTCAAATGCATAGCCAAGGAGCATAGATTAAAACCAAATAAAAAGAGAGAGATAGAGAGACAACATATTGTCTAGGTCTCTCTAATTTCAGTATGATCCATTTTATATAAATCTGAATTTCTGACTTAAAGATCTTCACTGCAAATGTGGGAGAGATCTTGAGTGTCCAAATAAGCACAGTCATTGTCTTGACCCGAAGGAGTCTGCATGAGACTTAGGCATATATATGAAAAGATAATGAATAACACAAGGTGCAAATTAGTACTGTTACAGTATTTAACGAAGACCTATGTAGCCCTTACCACGTGGAGGAACTGTTGTAAGTTTTACAAAATATTAACCCATTCAGTCCTCGCTACAACCCTAGGAGTAGGAACTGTTGTTGCTGTCATCCCATTCTACAGATGGGGAATAGAGAGGTCAAGTTACTTACTCAATGTCGCTGTGATAGGAAGTAGGCGCTGGACCTCACAGTGACATGGTGGGTTCCCAAGCCCACACTTGGCCTCGTCACTGTGTTGCTTGGTACCACTGGCGGTGAGCCCCGTGGGAGCTGAGTCAGGAAGCAGAAGACGTAGTGCCTGGGGGAGTCAGAGAAACCTCCCTGAAAGAGGACTTAAATTATGAGTAGGATTCAGATAAGCAAATAAACCTTTTGGCTTAAAATCTTTCCAAGGCTCTCTTTGCTTTAAGAATTCAGACTTCTTAGGCTGGCATACAAGTTTCTTCACCACTTGTCCTTTGCTTAGCTCTCCAGCCACATCACATGACTGTACTCAACAATCCTTGTTTAGTACCTGTGAACTAGCATTTTACTACGTCCTGAATACAGAGGTGAACAAAGCAGACTTAGTCTCCTAATCATGATGAAACTTATAATTTGGTGGGTGGGGGAGACATTATGGATCTGTAAACATTTTCTTTTCTTTTCTTTTTTTCTTTTTTTGAGACAGAGTTTCACTCTGTCGCCTGGGCTAGAGTGCTGTGGCATCAGCCTAGCTCACATTAACCTCAAACTCCTGGGTTCAAGCAATCCTCCTGCCTCATCCTCCCAAGTAGCTGGGACTACAGGCATGCACCACCATGCCCGGCCAATTTTTTCTATGTATTTTTGGTTGTCTGGCTAATTTCTTTCTATTTTTTAGTAGAAACGGGGTCTTGCTCTTGCTCAGGCTGGTCTTGAACTCCTGACCTTGATCAGTCTGCCAGCCTCGGCCTCCCAGAGTGCTAGGATTACAGGCGTGAGCCACCACACCCAGCCTGTAAACATTTTCTATATAGGCCAGTTAGTAAATGTCTTAGGCTTTGTGGATCGCATATGGCCTCTGTTGCATATTCTTCTTTGGGTTTTGTTTTGTTTTTATAACTTTTTAAAAATCTAAAAACCATCCTTAGCTCTCAAGCCATACAAAACCTAGCCAGATTGGGCCCAAAGGCTATATTTTGCCAATCCCTAAAAAAACAAAAAAACCTGAAGCAAATGAACATGTTAAACAATGTTTATTTTTAGATTGTGATAAATGGCTTAAATGGAAAAAACAAAGGTTGCAAAACAAAACAATCTAACCTCTGACACTCATTACTCCTTTGCACATGCTCTTTTCCTGCCTGGGAATCCTGCGCCATTCCATGTCTCCTCTACCCAATTAGCTCTCACCTGGTCAGCAAGACTGAGCTAAAAAATATCCCCTCTTCCAGAAATTCTTCCCTGGAGTATATTGTGCACAACTCTATTGCAGAACTCATCTCACTGGACAGTAGTTGTTTACTTGGCTGTCTCCACAATTAAACACTGGAAACTTGGGGAAAGAGGACATGATTTATTTATATCTTCAGTTCTCAACACAAGACCTGTATATTAATTAGATAATTAATCCATATGTGAATGAATGAATAAGAATATAAGCAGGAAAACAGCCAAAGGAAGTGAATCTGCTTGTGATAAGGCACAAAGCCCGGCTGCAGACAGATGGTAGAATGCTCATGCTACTCTGTAGGTAATAGATATTCGACAGAGATTTGTGAGCAGGAGAAAAATATGATCAAAATCCTGTTTTAGGGAGAGTAGAATGATGTCCTTGATGTTTATGAGCTTTCCAGCCATGCAGAACTGGATTCAAATCCCACTGTTATAGCTGATTGGCAGTGTGATTTTGGGTAAGGCCTTTGACTTACCTAATACTTAATAAATGATAATTTTAATACATGGATTGAGAAGGAAATAGCCTAGATGAAAATAGGGCAGTAAATAGTGCTCTGTCTTCACTATATAAAAAAAAGAAGAGGTATTTAGGCTGCTACTTCTCAAAATGTTTTAAAGAGTAAGTATTACGAAAATTGCTAGTGTTCATTAAGGACTAACTTATGGCAGGCACTGTGCTAATGCTTTGCACATATTATCCGATTTAATCCTCTTCTTAAAAAGATAGAAGCCAACATTCCTCCGTGATCTTAAGAGATATGCTATGCTGTCTTACAATAATATCCCATCAGTTTAAACCAGGATGTGGATGAGTCTGATAAAATTCTAACCTGTATTTTTACTACCTGGTTTTCAACTTTAGGATTTGCAGGAAATCCAGGTGAGAAAGGAAACAGAGGCATTCCAGGGTTACCAGGTTTAAAAGGCCTCAAAGGACTACATGGGCCACCAGGACCACCAGGTATAGCTGATTCTTGAATATAAATGGCATGTCTCAAGTTTTCCTAGATGTAAATGTAATAAAAAGAATTAAACTAAAATGAAGGTGTTTATAGTAGGCATGTATTAACTAAAAATTATTAACTTACATGTAGTTTCCTTTTTTCCTTAACATTTTATTCTGGAATTATGGGTATATGTTTAAATTATAATTTATCACAGTATCACATATCAGAGATAAAAATTAGATAATACTTTAGACGTTTTTAGATTTGCCTCTTTCTTTTTTTACACAAGTTATTGATTTTGTAAAATAATTTTTAAATAATTAAAGTAGCCCACTATTCCCCATAACCACTTCAGTAACAAAATATGGCAATAAAACTTCAGTGTGCAGTTGAAAATATATTACTATATGGTCACAGGAGCCTGGTCTTTCCTGCTGGTGTTGATCCTATGATGATTTCCATGTCTAAAATCCAGGCCTGCTGACAGGAATCTAACTTGCTCTAGGTTTATGTGTTCCAAATCCCCACTTCCCTCCTTATCTGAAGGCAAAAGGGAAGCTAAACAAGTACCTGAACCAGCTGGTTTGTCTGTTCTGGATTTATTCATTCATGCATGCAACAAATATTTTTTGTTGCTGTGCCTAGCACCTATATAGGACATATGACTATTTATTTCTTCTCAAGGCCCCAGAGGAGATCTTGGCAGTATTGGGAGTCCTGGAGAACCTGGGCCACGTGGCATGCCAGGAAGCGTGGGGAACATGGGTGTACCAGGTAATGTATAAGGTCCTGTTGTGAGCCTCTACAAGCTCATGATGGGGTTGCAACATTAGATATTCTGTGTTGTATATTGTTTTAGTTTTCCACCTGGTAGAAAGTTTATGTAAAACAACTAGATTTGCTTTTGGGCAAATGCACTGTGTGCATCTAGAATATGAGTAAGAACAAAATATATACTGATGCTATATAAAAATCATCCATTGTAATTACCTGATGCATTTGTGATTCTGAAAAAACAACTTCTTGAGAGAAGGGTGGTTTACCCAAAGGTCAAAAGTGGAACACTTCAAGATCCCCATGTTTACTTGTTTTACCTGATTTTCCCCCCTAATTTCAGGTTCTAAAGGAAAAAAGGGAACTTTGGGATTCCCCGGACAAGCTGGAAGACCAGGCCTCCCAGGTATTCACGGTCTCCAAGGAGATAAGGGAGAGCCAGGTTATTCAGAAGGTACAAGGCCAGGACCACCAGGACCAACGGTATATATAGGCCACTGAAATATTTATGTTTTGGTGGTAGATTGAGCACCTGAAATATCAACAAGTATCCAGATTCAATGTGTGCAGAGAAAATTGAAGCTATTACTGTACTTTCAGGCAGTTATTTGGATTTTTTAATACTATCTCCACAACTGAGGATGCCTATCACACAGATATCAACTTCTGAAAGCCTCTTTCAGCCACCAAGAAATTTCTCACACTGTCCCTGCAATTTAAGTGTGCTGCCAGAAGGGGGCAGTGATTACAGGCCCACACACTTTGACAGAGCAGTGAGTGTTTTTCTTGTGATACAAAGTGGCCAGTCTCTGGTGTGGACTCATCCCACACAGACTTAGAAAAATAAATTTCCAAATCTTATAATCAAAAATACTTGTGTTATTAAAACATAACAAAGATACAAAATAAAATAACTTAAGAGCATCATTAGAAAGTGAATAAAGTCTGAAGGTAAATACATTTTTCTTTCTTAAATGTTTTAGAACTTTAAGTATTTTCATTCCATTCCATAAAATATTTTTATCTTGTCTCAATGTTCTTGGTGTTTATGCTCTGTCAAGTTGAGGTTATATGTTAAAGCCCTTGCTAATGTGTTATATAAAGCATCAACCAAATGTTTCAGTGGGGCTTGGTTGCCTTTTTAGGTTTCTTTTTTTTCCAGCCTTTCTATATATAACACTTACAGTAAAAGGCAGAGATAGACCATTAGAGAATAATTAATAGAAATTCCTATAAGCAGAGGTTGTTAATCTGGGATTCCATGGACCCCTAGCAAAATCTATGGGATCCCAAGAAACCCACCAACCTCTTGAAATTAAATGTAAAATATTTGAAAGATTTTTGTAGAGGAGAGTCTACATTTTCCATCAGATTTTCAAGAGCATATGATCCCAAAACATAAAAATTGTTACTTAGGGAACCTTCTCCCTCTCTTTTGAGCCAATAAAATACCACCTTTCCTAAAGATTTTCACCAACTATCTCTTCCAGTGTAATTGCTAAAACAAGAAAGAAAAAATTGTAGACACCACACAGACACAAGAAAGTAACCATTTATTACTTGGAGCACAATTCCTTTTCTCTTTATATTTAGATTAAGTTCTCAGAAACTTAAGAATCTCAGGAAGAGATTCCTTGCACTGAGATATTTTCTTGATGAAGAATCCTATTTGAGTTCATTCACATCTAGTTAATTAATAGTTCCATTGAGATGTAGGGGTTTTCATAGGCAACCACCAGAAAAAATTTTTAGAACCATGCGTTGAACAGATCAGAGTAAGAGTAGTGCATTTTAATTGGCTACAATAGAAATTTTCTCAGTCTCCATAAAACTCATATGTTCTGGTTTATCATAAAACTAAAGTACAGATTTAATAAATATTAAATCATTGAAAGTTTTTTTATCATGTGATTGACACACATTTATCTGGATGCACAGCATTTGTAGGACACATATCCATTGAGTCTATGTCTTTCTTACCCCCAGTCATCAAAATTTATAATTATACATCTATGTGATTATTTAATGTCTATCTCCCTACTGTATCTGAAGCTCCATGAAGGCAGGGGCTGTATATATCCTATATCTGTATATGGTGGTCATTACATCCTGGTAAGAGCTAGCTTCATGGGTATGCAACCTGTGCAGTCACAGAGGTCCCATGCTAAGAAGAACCCCATGCTTGGTTTAATGCTTTGCTATTCCTATCTTGAAATTCTTAAAGAAAATTTTAAGAGCAAACCATATTTTCATTTTGTGCAGGGCCCCACGAACCGTGGAGCCATCATGTTCCCAGCACCTCTCATGATGCTGGCAGATAGCAGACACTAAATATGAATTGATGAATGAATGAATGAAGTTTATACTTAATTCTAATTGCATATCTTGCTTATATGAGAATTTTAAAGGTCTCTGACTAAATTTAAGGGGGATCCAGGATTGCCAGGTGACATGGGAAAGAAAGGAGAAAGAGGGCCACCTGGCCCACCTGGACATTCGGGGCCTGCTGGACCTGAGGGATCCCCTGGAAGTCCTGGAAGTCCTGGCCACCCAGGTGAGCCCTGGCTTTACAAGCTGAAAGCATTCATTACTCATAGTAGGTCCTTCACCTCCTGCAATCATCTCAGTAAATAGAAAGCTATTTATGCTTTTATTCTTCAGTTGCTTTTATTCAACTTTGAACTTCAAATTCAAAGACACTAAGAAACAGGGAATTAGTCAGCAGGAGCCTGGTTTTGTGATCAGCCTACTTGGTGGACTGAAACGTCAAAATTTGCTCCCATAAACAAAACTTTTAAAGTATTGCCTCAAGAAATTCAGCCTAAAGACATGAAATGGTTCATTGTACAATTGTACAATGTTCGTATTAGTTTGCTAGAGCTTCCATAACAAACACCACAGACCAGTGGCTTACACTGCAGACATTTATCTTCTGGTAGTTCTGGAAGGTTAAGGTATTAGCACCGTGGGTTTCTTCTGAGCTCCCTCTCCTTCTCCCTGTGCCTTCCCTCTTGTGTCTGTGTCTCATTCTCTTCTTATGAAGCCACCACTCATATTGGATTAAGTCTCACCCTACTGACCTCATTTTAATTTTTAATTATCTCTTTAACAACTCTGTCTCCAAATACAGAGACATTCTGAGATGCTCAGAATGGACATGCTCAGTTAGGACTTCAACAAATGAATTTGAGGTGGGGACAAAACTCAACCTATAACCATGTGTTCTGTACCTTTTTTTCCTGACATATTTCCGGATTAAGCTTTGGCTTTCTTACTTATTAGCTTCCAATTTGGGTTTAAGTTTTTGTATTGTTTTATTTAAAACAACTGCTGAACTATTGGGTTGCAGCTTCAGATCTTATTCAAAGACAATATTTAAACTGTTCAAAACACTGTAAGGGTCAATAAATTTGCAGTTAACTCACAATTAAGATAATAAATTGGCTATTTAGTGGTCCATGTGGTTAGTGTACACACACCTTTGAAAATGATTCAATGTATCTCTGCCGTGGTTGCCTGGGGAGACAGAGGCCAGGTCCAGAGCCCAGGGTGACTTGCAAAAGAGATCTCCTTAAGGCCAACTTGAGCACAAGTGTCTGTAAGAATTGATGATTTCTGGCATTGTAATCATTTATCTTTCGGTGTTCTTTCTTCCTCCTCCTCTCTCTTCATTTCTAGGAAAGCCGGGTTTTGATGGTGATTTGGGTAATAAAGGAATCAAAGGCTTCCCAGGCCTTCCAGGAATAAAAGGCCTCCCAGGTTTCATTTTTTTAATTTCTCTGTGTTGTTTTCATGAGGGAGGCATGTTTCTGCTGAGGTTAGAAGTCCTGTACTGCTCTGTAGAAGGCAGCTCCCAGTTACTCAGTACCCAGACAAAAATGCAGAAAAATGAGGTTAGATATTTCTACCTAATTCAAATATCTGCCAAACTAAACATTCCGAAGTGATGATTCCCATGATAGTATCAATCTGTGCATACATTTCACTGGGCCTTTAGCATCACATAACTATAGTTCTAAAAAATTAGCACCTTTAATAAAATCCCACAAATCTCCCTGGTATTCACATTAAGCCATTGGTAGGAAATAAATCCTCTTTGTATGCCGTGGTGTTTGCTGTTTTCAGGCCTTCCGGGATTCCCTGGATCTCCTGGACCAGTGGGTATGAGAGGTAACCAAGGACATGATGGAATTCCTGGTCCGCCTGGAGAAAAGGGGGAAACAGGTACAACTTGCTCCTTATCTTTGATCCACCACTTTTATTTTGGATAGAATCATTAGTGACATTGTAATCCTTCCCTGCTCTAAAGATTCTTCTCTGATAGAACTGATTCTCTTTAACGTGTCCTTGGTGTGTGACAACTAAACTTCCTTCGCATATATGTAATGTAATGAAATTAGCCAAATATTACTTTACCAAGATTATCTCTTTCAGGTTTACTGAGGGCACACCCAGGCCCAAGAGGGAGCCCTGGTGCTCGAGGTAAGCAGTCCTTCCCTGACTTGATGATACACAGTTTCATATGCTTGATATATAAAATAAACTTAACCTAGTGAATTAAAGAACTCCTGATGGTGATATAGGATATTTACCATTTTAGTAATCGATTTTAAATGTTTGATTATTATCATCACAACAAAGGAAACTAATTAGAAACTGTGATCCAATTTTGGAATTTCTTTCTATGAAATCTTTAAACATAAAAAGGATTCTTGTATATTTACTTTGTTGCTGTTAGCATGGTTCAAATCTATCACCTCCTGAAAGGAGAGAGGATGTGATTGATGGCTTCCCAGTGAGCATCCCTTCCCGCTGACCTGCACACAGGAGGAATCCTTTCCCACCTTGCTGTCTTCATAGGTCTGCCCAAGTCCCAGCCCCAGGCTGTGGTTCATGCTGTCGTTTATTAAGGGCCACCCAGTGACTCTCTCAGTATCTCAGACATGGCAATGTACTGAGCATGTCATTCAATGTGTAGGCAAGTGTTTTGTTTCAAAGCCTGCAAGCCTGCACTTCTCATGTCAGTATTTCACAACACAAGTAGAAATGTCAGAATGTTTGCACCTTTTCTTGGCCCCTCTCAGCCGTGGGTCCCAGGCATGGGAGTGTTTCATTAGCAAAGAGGCCTAGACCTGGTGAAGGCCTCCAGTTACTGAGATGCTGCTAAGAGACTCAGCTGGATGGGAATGTCTCTTGACTAAACAGCAAAAGTGTGAAAGTAGACAAGAGCTGTTCTCTTCCACTCATTTCTTAATGATCTGATTGTCCTTTTGGCTGAGTGCAGAGTTCACGCATCTCCCAGACCCTCCTCCCTAGTGAGCACAAAGGTTTGTCCTGTTCCGCAATCTGGTTTTAGAACCGTGGTCAAAAGGAGAGTAGTTGCTGTTCATGTTCCGAGGCTAGGCTCGCAGTTTAACCATTTGGAATGGGAACGGTAGCTTTTAACATAAAATAAAATGTGATATAAAAATGGTCATATCTTAGGTAATAAAGCCTCAAAAATAACAAATAGCCTAATTATGTAAGGAAATGATTATGCACCTCAATCCCTTCAGGATAACTAAATATGGAGAAGAGTTCATTGAGACTTGGAAGGTATGAATCCTTTAAATGAGTTCATTCTCCCAAATCCTAAAAAGAAATCATATTGCAGAGCAAGCAATCATTTGAATGAACATGGAATATATAACCCAAGACATGGTGACATTTCTTCAGGTCATTGTCCTACAAAGACAGCATTACAGATCTTGGACTGAGCTGAAGTCATCTAAACACTTTCTTTTAAAAGCATAAATTGCAGGCATTAAAAAGCTAAAGAATGTGAATAGACATAGGGCTAGATAGTCAATATTCATCAATTTTATTTTCATCATCACCCTAAGTAAACCACATAGTAACTTCCCAAGCCCTTCCCTGAGCCATCAACCTCATTCTCATGGCTCCTTGTCTTTCCTCACATCTGCCTCCTATTTTCATGCCACTTACTATTTCCAGAGTGACACAGAGATAGGAGAAAGAAGGGAGAGATTGTTTCCAATTCCTACAACATTTTTCATTGATGAGTGTCAAAGCACAATTTCTTGAAGTTTTTTTGAGATTAAAACTTTTAGTATTAAGTTATGCTCTTTTGGGGGTCTTCTTTGGTAAATCCAAACTTTCTGCCACATTTGTCCCTCCCAGACTAGTGTTCCTGTTGTGGGAGAGAATTAACCACAGGACAGAATAAGGGTTGCAATTTTGTTGCTTCTTTGTCTGGGTTTGGCTAGATCACGCTGCAAATGCACACATCAGTGCTATGCAATTTAGCTTTTTATGCTCTATTGAATTATCTGAGACTAAATAATGTTACTGTATTTAAAGCTCTTCAGATGATAATAATTGTGGTTTATATTCATAGAACATGTTAGATCTCAGACCATACTTTTCAGACTGTATGTTATCTCACTTGATCTTTTTAGAACTGAGAGAAGATAGGCATTACCTTCACTTTTAAAATAAGAAAACCAACACTTGAAATAGTATGTGAATCTGAAGTGACTTTGCCAAGATCAGATGACTAGTTGGAGGCAGACTGAGTCTCAACTCAGTTTTTATAGACCTATATTTCATTTACCGGCCTCTTTTAAAAATATATATTCTGATTCTTAACACTCTTAAGTAAAGGTGCCTACCTTATTAAAGATAACCACAAACTATAACTCCAAATGTAGGGGCAGTAAAGAAACTTACCGAACCTTCTTCTTCGCAGGAGCCAAAGGAGACAGGGGAGTCCCCGGCTTGCCCGGCCCCCCGGGCAGGAAAGGGCCAGAGGGGGATGTGGGGCCTCCAGGGCCCATTGGCATCCAAGGACTCCCAGGGCCACCAGGTTTGCCTGGTGCAATCATCCCTGGCCAAAAAGGAAATCGAGGTCCACCGGGCTCAAGAGGAAACCCAGGTAGAAGGCTTACTTGTAAATAATATAAAAGAATGAAAATCATGTTTGACCTTGGAAGTTCTCAACCTCCTCCTCACGCTACCTCCTTCCTTCTTTTTTCCCTCTGATTTCCTCCATTCCTCTCACGGACAGCTGCTCTCTCACACAGTGCAGTGACTCTTGGTGGTGTTGAGACACAGGGCCTGTTTGAGAGATGAGTGGTCACCAAATTGACAAGCCTAAAAGAGATTTGCATCCATTCAACCTGTATTTACCACTGAGCTCCCACCCTGCGGAGGGACCAGGCTGGGCTCTAGGCAGTGGGCACAGCCCTGCCCTAACAGACCCTCATCAGAGAGAAGCGGTTCCCGCTTGGGCCAGGTGCCTGACTGGCCTCACCTCACTCTGGCTATACCACAATCCCATCACATGCCCCAAGGGAAGGGGACAGGGAATTAATATTCTCGGTAATGATAAGGTGCAGGGTTTGCACTTGTTAGATAGAAAGAATCACGGATAGAAACTTCTACGCTCCCTTACTAACAATACTGACAGGCTTTTTGTGAATTCAGGTGAGCCAGGTCCTCCTGGCCCTCCGGGGAGTCATGTAAAAGGCATAAAAGGAGAAAAAGGGTTTATGGGCCAGCCTGGCCGAAACGGTCTACCTGGAACTGTAGGAGACATAGGGCCACCAGGTCATCCGGTGAGTATGGAAAATTATCGACTTATTATGAATACAATATTGACTTACTATAATTGTTCTTAAATTGTATATTGTTAATATAATAATATTGATTTATTATTATTTATGCAAGAATACTATACTTTTATAGACCAATTGCTGGGATCAGATGTACCTTGAGGCAGCAAAAATTTATAATTTTTGATGCATCTGTGCAGTGTGCTTAAACAGTCCAGAGGGTTCGGGAAGTCAAAGAGTCTTACAAGTTAGAAAAAGGTCTGGCCTCGCCTTTAAAACTTTGGTCTATGTGGGACTCACCTCTATAGCTTTTCTGACCCTTGCTTGTTTAGATTCTGAACAATTCCAGTGATGGAACCTTCAAAAAGCAGCTAGGCCGGGCGAGGTGACTCAAGCCTGTAATCCTAGCACTCTGGGAGGCCGAGGCGGGCGGATTGCTCGAGGTCAGGAGTTCGAAACCAGCCTGAGCAAGAGCGAGAGCCCGGGCGTGGTGGCTCACGCCTGTAGTCCTAGCTCTCTGGGAGGCCGAGGCGGGCGGATTGCCCGAGTTCAGGAGTTCGAAACCAGCCTGAGCAAATGGGAAAGAAATCAAGACGAAATAAAAAAGTTCTATGAAGAAAACGACAATGGAGAGACAAGTTATCAACTCCTCTGGGACACCAGCTAAAGCAGTTCTGAGAGGAAAGTTTATCTCCATAAATGCCTATAACCAAAAGACAAGAAGATCACAAATAACAATCTAATGAAACGACTCAAAGAGCTGGAAAAAAGAAGAACGAACCAACCCCAACCAGCAGAAGAAGTGAAATCAACAAGATCAAATCAGAACTAAACGAAATTGAAAACAGGAAAGCTATTCAGGGATTAATAAACCAAAAAGTTGGTTCTTTGAAAAAATAAACAAGATTGACACGCCATTGGCTAAGCTAACGAAAAGCAGAAAAGAGAAATCTCTAATAAGCTCATCAGGAATAAAAAAGGAGATATCACAACTGATCCCAAGAGATACAAGATACAATTTATGAATACTACAAAATTTTGAACTGGAAAATGTGAGGAAATGGACAAATTTCTAGAACACACAGCCTCCCTAGGCTCAACCAGGAAGAAATAGATTCCTGAACAGACCAATCTCAACAGCTGAAATAGAAACAGCAATTAAAAATCTCCCTAAAAAGAAAAGTCCCGGTCCAGATGGCTTCACACCTGAATTTTACCATACTTACAAAGAAGAACTAGTACCTATCTTGCAGAAACTATTCCACAACATCGAGAAGAACGGAAACCTCCCGACACCTTTTATGAAGCGAATATACTCTGATCCAAAACCAGGAAGGATGCAACAAAAAAAAGAAACTACAGACCAATATCCCTAATGAATATAGATGCAAAAATTTTCAACAAAATCTTAGCTAACCGAATCCAGACACTATCAAAAAAATAATCCACCACGACCAAGTGGGCTTCATCCCAGGATGCAGGGATGGTTCAACATACGTAAATCTATAAATGCAATTCACCACATAAACAGAAGCAAAAAAAAAGACACATGATTCTTTCAATAGATGCAGAAAAAGCTTTGACAAATTCAACACCCTTTCATGATACGAACACTAAGAAAGTAGGCATAGAAGGACATAGCCAAAAATGATACAAGCCATATATGACAGACCCATAGCCAACATCATACTGAATGGGGAAAGACTGAAATCATTCCCACTTAGAACTGGAACCAGACAAGCTGCCCACTATCTCCTTCTGTCAACATGTGCGTGAGTCTTGGCTACCAGCAATCAGACAGGAAAATGGAATCCAAGGTATCCAAATAGGGGCAGAAGAGATCAAACTTTCACTGTTTGCTGATGATATGATATTGTATCTAGAAAACCCAAGGATTCAACCAAGAAACTCCTGGAACTGATCAATGAATTTAGTAAAATCTCAGGATACAAAATTAATACACAGAAATCAGAGGCATTCATATACGCAACCAACAATCTAATTGAGACCAATCAAACAGACTCAATTCTTCACAATAGCAACAAAGAAATTAAAGTACCTAGGAATATATTAACCAAAGAGGTAAAAGACCTCTACAGTGAGAACTATGAACACTGAGGAAGGAAATAGCAGAGGGAGTTTAAACAGATGGAAATCCATACCATGCTCGTGGATCGGCAGACTCAATAATCATAAAATGTCTAATACTACCCAAACTGATCTACAGTTTCAATGCAATACCTATAAATCCCATCAGCCATTCTTCCACAGATAGTAGAAAAAAATAATTTACGCTTGTCGTATGGAACCAAAGAGACCCCGGATATCAAGGCAATTCTAGGCAACAAACAAATGGAGGCATTAATATGCCAGATATCAAACTATACTACAAAGCTGATAATAAAACAATATTGTTTCGGCACAAAAACAGGAATATTGACCAGGGAACAGATGTGAGAATCTGAAACATCAATAAGCCATTCTCATCTTGACAAAGCAGACAAAAACATCACGCTGGTTGGGAAAAGAATCTCCTCTTCAATACAATTGGTGCTGGGAAAAATCGGATAGCCACCTGTAAAGGCTAAAACAGGACCCACACCTTTCACTCTCACAAAACAACTCACGCTGGATAACAGACGTTTGAACCTAAAGATATGAAAATCTTCTCT